CTACATGCATGATTCTACTTTAGGGAATAATGCTACTAGCAAAAAAAAAAATCAGTCTTCAAGGAAACTATATAAGACTCAGAGACACACATTCTCACAGCCTGCAGCCTTGTATCTCCTCAAATCAGACTACTTGTCTGTCTGAGCTGACCTATTTACAAAGAGAGCAGTCAAATCGGACAGTCTGCATTATGTAGGCCAGCCTTTAAATGAAGCTTCTTGTGCTAAGGGAGCGAATGCCAGAATGTGTCCAAGCAGTCTGTGTGCTTCCAGACCTAGGGTATGAATAATGACTAAAAATAAAGAGAAAACAAACAGATAAACCACAGGGAGTTGGTGGTTTTCCATTGGCTTTAAGAGCTCTTGCAATAATGCCTGTGTGCTCATCATCACGCTAAAGAAATACCACACTGAGCTACCAGACACTGGTATTTTCCATCATCCCGAAAAAAGTAATCACTGCAGCCAATTCAGAGCCATGAGCGAGGGTGTGGTGGGTGTGCATGTGTGAAAATAGGTGTGTCTGTAATAGTCCTGGGTAATTTATGACTGTTTTATACACAACAAATCAACAAAAACATGATTATTTGCCTATACACACACCGATAAATATATATGTAAATCTAAAGGCTTTAACATGCTGTCGCCTTGACCTCAACAGCTATAACAGCTCCACATCTAAGGGAAATCCTGCCTTCTGAGTAGGGCTGGGCGATGTGACCTCAAACCAATATCACGACAAATTAGGCATCTTAAAGGAATAGTACACCCAAAACATGATTAGCCTTCATTTTCTACTCACCCCCATGCTGAACAACACTCTGGAGTACTTTTTTGATATCTCAAATGCATCTGGAGATCTGGGAGGCTTCTTGCTGTCTGCTGACATTCAAATAATGGAGGTCTATGGTGCCCGAGGCAGAAAGGTCCATAAAAGTCCACAAAAACGTGTCAATATTCCTCCATACTGCTCGTCCAATGTATTCCAAGTGTCCTGAGTGGGTAGCATCCAGAATTTACTCGAAACGAAGCCATTTAGAATGTTTTTAGAGCATAAACAGTAGTGTATAGGATTTCCTGAAAGCGCGCGCCCGCACGTTCACAACGCTACGGAAACCGCGGCAGACCAAACCGGATGAAAGTGCGCATTCAGCTCGGCAAAGAACTCATGCTCTTCCTCAACACTGAAGTCCTCAGACATTTTTCTTTCGTTGTTTCTTTCTTTGCACAGGTAAACAGCACATTTCTTCTTCTATGCTTGCATTATCGGCAGAGCAGACGCTGAATGCGCACTTTCATCTGGTTGGTCTGCCGGTTTCCGTAGCGTCGTGAACGTGCGGGCGCGCGCTTTCAGGAAATCCTATACACTACTGTTTATGCTCTAAAAACATTCTAAATGACTTCGTTTCGAGTAAATTCTGGATGCTACCCACTCAGGACACTTGGAATACATTGGACGAGCAGTATGGAGGAATATTGTCACGTTTTTTGTGGACTTTTATGGACCTTTCTGTCTCGGGCACCATAGACCTCCATTATTTGAGGCCCCATCCACACGAAGACGAACCCTGGCCTAAAAGCACAAATTTTTCACCAAACCTGCCTCTCATCTACACGAAGCCGGCGTTTCGGGGGTCTGTAAACAATCTTTTTTTTATTCAGCCTTCAGAGTGGGAAGATTTCGAAACGCCGTTTTCGCGTTTCCATCTTTACGGTCTAACCGCATTTTTTTTTTTTTTACACGCATGCGTCATAGCGTCGCCTCTTAACACGCATGCGCGACCAGTATCACAACAACAATGGCGCCGTTGCTGCTAATGCTACTCACCCTGCTGTCGGGCTTACAACAGAATCTTATTCTTCTGGAATATCTCCAGGAAGAACAGAGCAATATCGACGACATAGTTCAGCACCTGAATTTGACTTAACCACGAAAATGGACCCGCAGGGCAACCATGTATAAATATTAGTGCGCATGCCCAACATTTCGTCGCTTATTTTTGCTTTGGCACCACAGCGCCACTTACAGGCCTGGCATACATTTTGCAGCGTTTTCATGCATTCGTGTGGACGCTCACATTTATTTTACGTCTCCGTCTTTACGGCAAACGTTTTGGAAAATATCAGCGTTTCGTGTTCGTTTTGACTTCGTGTGGACGGGGCCTGAATGTCAGCAGACAGCAAGAAGCCTCCCAGATCTCCAGATGCATTTGAGATATCAAAAAAGTACTCCAGAGTGTTGTTCAGCATGGGGGTGAGTAGAAAATGAAGGCTAATCATGTTTTGGGTGTACTATTCCTTTAACCTCGATAATGATAAATGCACGATAAATGCTCCAGCTCCTCTATCAGAAAAAAAAGACATGTGCAGGAAATGCAACTGATCTATTTATAATTTATTTAATGAATAAATCACATTACATATTACTTCCAATTAAATATTAAAGCATTGTGCCCATTCAAGTTTAAACATTCAACAAAGTCTCATTTAACAGGAGAAAAATGTTTCTTCTCTTGCACACATTTTTGCACTAAGGTAATGGAGCCTTTTGCACATCTTTAAACTCAACAGTGTGGTTGTTGGATGAGTTACTTTGGGTAGTCCTGACAGTTTTCACGCAAGCTTTGCATTTTGTGTTATTTATATCTATGGTGTAATTTTGGTGCCACCGAGCTAAGCATCCAGTGAGAACAATGTGCATCCTTTAAACTCGCACACCTTCACTCAAACCATGTCTGCCGCGCTCTCCACTTCTGTGCGCTCAGCTTCATCTCTGTTCTTGCTCAGCTCCACAGGATTAACTGACTTAAATTTGTTTACACCTGTGTTTGACGATTCTTTAATGGGCTCATTTGGCATTCTTCGTTTACGCTTCTGACTGGATCGGTGGAGTTACGCGATTCCTAACTTACTGCAGAGCTTTGGTTACGTCTTGATGCTTTATTCTGATTTATTTGTGAAATCTAATTTTTTTTTTTTTTTTTTGCGTTGCTGTACACATTTCCACATATATGCGACTTGTATGCAATCTCCTGTGTGAACTGCATTCATACGACCTAAGTGTCCCACATGCACAGTAGAGGATGCAATGACGTCACAAGCAGTAAACATGGATGGTAGTGCTGGAGAACATCTAGCGATCTTTCCCAACCTTAAAAACTCAATCTTTCCAAGATGGTTAAACATAAATACAACTCTCCTCTTATCGTCTAGCATTGTTGCTGTTTTTCTTGCTACTTCTGCATAGCAAGAAGCAGAAGAGTGACCACTTTCGGGTATTAATCACATTCAGGTCGGCCGTTCAGGCACAGGTCGCATTTGAAAAGATCTGATTCGTATCGGATTCAGGACCACATAGCCGAGTGGCCTGGTTCGCATTGGAAAAAAAAATCGGATCTGTGTTGTTCAGACTGTCATGAAAAGATCAGATCCAGGGGGCCAAAACAAAAAAAAAATATCGGATTTGGGACACTTCAGGCTGCAGTGTGAACATACCTTAAAGGGTAAGGGAATAATAGCCACCAGTGCACTCAGGGAAATGGTAGAATTATTTAACGAATTTACAGACATAAATTTGCACCAGTTATCGTCGTAAAGGGTAAAAACCCAGCCCTACTTCTGTGTGCAATAATATATTTTAGGGCTTCCAGGCATAATTGGCTGTATAGATTCCACTCACATTCCTATCACTGCTCCATCACCAAAAGAAATAGATTATGTTGCCAGGAAGTCTTTCCATAGCCAAAATGTGCATTTGGACCTAAATACAATCATATTTCAATAGTCTACACTTAGGGAAACTTATCTCAAAAGAATTAAATCATTCATCTCTGTGGGCTCCTTCCCCACAGGACTTTAATTTGCGTTTCCTGCTAAGTTCTATTTTATGTAAGAGGAGCCGTTTTCAGAAAAGTGACCAGTATTTCAGTTGTTTTAGCTCTGCTTATAAGCAATGAGACTCATTTTAGTTCGATTTAGTCAAATCGGTACCACTGATGTATGACAAACTAATATGAAAATTATGTTGGTTCCTACATTAGATTTGAATGCAAACTTAGTTTCTTTCAGCCAACATCTTGAGCTCAGTAGAGCACAGGAGAAAAAAAAAAACTGTGCCACAAATAGTTTGTAAAATAGAAAGTCAGCGGGTGCAGAGCAAACTTACCGAATCTTATGTGTATTAGTTGGCTATTGCTCTATCCAAAGGTAATATTGAAGTTATGAGCTAAAAGTTGGGCTGCTATAGCAGTAATCGGCTATTTATGCTGGTCCTCTACAATGACCTTTATAAATCCGTTAACTCGCTGTGCTTAACGCTCGGTTATCTCTTTCCGTCTTAACTAGGTGGAGCACATGTGTGAACGTGTGTTTGTATGTGAGCTGCCAACAGGAAATCCAAGACTGCAGCCCAGAAAGCGATTAAAGGTCAAAAGACTAAATAATCAAATGTAGATAACTGTAAGAAACTGATGTGTGCCTGCTGCATCAGAACATTGTTTGCAAAGAGGCCTGGACTGACCCTGCTGCAGATATCGTAAACAATAATATAGTCAGAGGAGAATGCAAAGCTGCTAGCTGTGTAAAAAAGGTCATGTAAAACTAGAAACAAAAAAAACTGACTGCTGCAGTTTTCTGGGCAGGAACCAAGTAACCGCAGATGAACTGAAACTTTAAAAAAAAAAAGCTTTGCTGCTGCTGACTGTAGGCCAGATCCACAGTCTTGTCTACACACATGCTAAAAAAAGAGATCTGTCTTCGCTCCTTGTGTGTGCTCCCAAAACAGGAAGTCTGTTTTCTAAATTCGCAGTCTCTTATTTCTCCATCTGTCTCTCTTACAGACTAAGGGCCCAGTTTTCATGAAGTGCTGTTGATGTGTAAGCAGAACGGCTCTGTGTACATATCCATGCAAATAGGCAACACGTAGCAACAGATGATGCAGTTCAACACTTAGCAGCAGAAAAACAAACAAGAGTGTGAGGAGTAGTGAGACATGGGCTGACCTCTGGTGTGGCTTTGGAGCGGAGTGGTGGTTTGTCCTCACAGCAGAAGAGCTGCAGCTTAAGGAAACAAAAGAAAAAGAGAAAATTACATTTAGAATGAGATTTAAAACAGCATTAGTAGTAAATATGTCAACTATCACATCGTTTCCTCTGTTTCAAACAAATTTACACCTCGATGTACAAAGCATCCTGGGGAGTCTTTTTCCTGCACATTTTGCTATATTAGCATTTTTTTTTCCCGTAACATAATCCTTTGATAGGGATGCACCAATCTAAACAACACCATGAAAAACCTAACATTGCTGACAGCGCTTCTCTGCTTCAGTTAAACACCCAGTATCCTTTGCTACTGTCACATAACAGAACAAACATGGCCGATCACCCTTTCCTTCTCAAACAAAAACAGCAACTTAACGGAAATAATATTTGTTAATATCAGCCAAGTTCTACTAATCGAGCTAAAAGCGATATGTTTAAAAATGACATTGGTTGAAACGGATGTTACTCTCGATATATCAAGCTTCCCCCAACCTTTTTCCCCTCTTAAAAATTCAAACGCGATTCTGCATCATGCAAAAGTAAAGAAAAGCTTTAGGGTTTTTTTTTTTTCCCCTCTAGTCAGATCTTCCCAGATTAGAAATTTCAGACAGATTCAAATCAGTTTATTGTCCCACAATGGGGAAATTCACTCTCTCCATTAAACCCATCCCCTTGTGTGGCTTCCAGGGAGCAGTGTGGGCTAAAGGGACCCAGAGTGGCAGTCTGTGAGGATCGAACCAGGTACTTGCAACCTTCTCAGACCACAAGCGCACTGCTCTAGCTACTAGGACATCACTTCCCCAAAGAGTGAAGCTATATCAGCTGCTTCTTTCCACAGTTGCCATGTTTACTCCATCCCTGCAGCTAATATAAACTGTCAGGCGGAAAACTAACTGTTTAGAATTCATTGACTTGATGCAATGTTTAATCTCTGGTTTAAACTCTGTGGTTCGTACATTAACTCTGAAATAGATTTCATATTAAAGTGTGAGGAACAATAATACAAAGATAAACTATGACCAAATGTTTCCACTGGTGGGAAATTAAAAGCAGAATTCCCTATACACATTTAGGATTGAATCTAAGTAACAAATAAAAAATACTTTGTAAATTTAAAGCACAAAGTTGAAGATATTTGAGACTGATATTGGATTTTTTAAAGTCGATATTGAAATCGATAATGGGGGCTTTAAAAAAACATATCTGATCTATTGGCAAATATCAGATATTTAAAAGAAAAACTGAACATGGACATACACATGATATGCAAAGTAACTATAGTCCAACTCAAATTATCATAATCACCAAAACACCCGCCAGCGGCCAAAATCATTTTTGCCTGCGAGTGGTCTAGTCTCGATCAATGCCCCAGGCCCTAGAACTGGCGGGCCAATCACATCGCAGAGATGTGTTTTGAATTTTAGGATGCAAAGTGGGCGGGGTTTTGATGGCATGATGACAAAGCTGCACGACGCTGGAGAAAGCACAACAAGGAAGATGACAACAACTATTGAACAGTCCTCATTTGACTCAGCTTTGGAATCCGTTTTTGAAGGATTAGATTGAGGCCAGACTAAATTACACATTTAATCTGGTGTATCAGGCTACCAAAATGTGATTCAAGACCAAGAAACAGAAATAGAAATATAGAGATAAAATAAACTACTTTAATTATTATTCCACAACGATCTAAAACTTTCAGAGTTAAAATGTTAATATGTTCGCCAAAACTAGCTTATATAAAAGTCGTCTGCTCTCCTTAATGCGACATAACAGCGTGTTTCCACGAGGACCTTTGTTGTCATGGGGAACTAAAGTGCAGTTTTGAAAAAAAATAATAATAATTACAGCTTACCATGGAGTAAACTGATTACTTTCTACCTCTTCATTCAACGCCATTATTACGATATCCTTGAAAAAAATAATGCATCATAAGCTGAAATATAAAACATGGTGCTTTAAGCTTCCCAAAATGTTCAAAGTTGTTGCATGTTCAGCGACATCTTTTGCAGCAGCTTTAAATCATAAAAAACTTGCTATCTTTTGTTCTAAAACATGAGATTTATCTGTACAAAAGTTGTTGCATCACATACCGTATGCTTTTAAAGTCACCAGTGTAGGACAAACCAATTTGGGGTTAGCCGGGTCGAGATTACTTTTATTTCATTTTATTTTTTTAATCAAAGGAAGCGTCTGACCACAGTAAATAGAACAAACTTTCTCAGATCTGTGTGGTTCCTTTTAACAACACAACCTAACAAAACCAGCTCCTTTGCTGAGCAGCTAAATCAATTCTCACTACTCAGAATGTTTTTCATGTCTTTAAATTGCCAGCTGTGCCCTGCAGGCCTTTGCCTTATTGCTGCAACATTAAATGATACAGAAGCCTTATGTGTGATGTAACTTTACTGCAGCTGATGATGTAACCTGCTCTGCAGGCAGACACATGCTGAACACAAATGATTATTTGAGAAGTCTTCATAGAAAGGGGGTGGGGAAGAAAGGATGCAGGACAGTGGCTGTGTTAAAATGCAGCACATGCACATAAAAATCGGATAATTCAATCAGGGGAACAATAAGGCACAATAATTCACTGACTGATCTGTGTGCACACTGACAAACTGCTGCACAGCTATGCTGATAGACAGGAACTACTGCAGGATACAGCTTCAGATGTTTCCAATGTAGACTCACCCATGTTACCTAAATTACTTCATTTGTCACAGAACGTGTTTGAAAACTGTCAAACCAGACAGCTGCAACAATGGATCGACCTGCAGCTGATTACATCCCCTGTTGTTTTTGTACCAGAAAAAAAAAAGACTTTCAGATCTAATCTGTGTCATCTTTAACTGAACGGTTCAGCCACTACTGGTACATTACAAAAAAACTTTTATTTAAGCAAACAGAACTGAAAAGAATGGGTATAACACAAATATAATGCTTATAACATAAGTCAGCACAAAAAGATTTGAGTAAACAGGTGTTAGGATCTGTTTTATTTATTAACGTGAAAGGTTCCCTTGAATAAATTTAAAACAAGTGCGAACGGACGGAGGCCACAAATATTCATCTGAAATGTCCCTATGTAAATCAGACACTTGTTTTTGCATTGTTGCAGTTATGCTCCTCCACTTCTAATAACAGTTTTCATGAAGTGCTGTTGAAGAAGCAATCCAAAGCACGCTAGTCCCATGAAGCAATACTTCTGTGCATGTCTAAACTAATTACTGCATGGATGAAGACAAAAAAAATGACATTCTTGGCCAGAATTCAAACTACTACCAACAGCAGATTATCCTGCAGCTGATCTTTTCTCCTGCAGTCATGGCTTGAATAGCTGTGATCGACTCCCATTCACTTTTTTATTGACAAACTGCAAACCTGCAACACTTTTATATGCAAAACAAACTAAATGACTACAGATTTTAAATATAAAACTGACTCTTCTAACCAAGCCTAAATTGAGCCTAAAAAAAGCTTTAGCTGAGCTCATCTGTGTTTCCACTACCACATAATTTATGGCTTTATTAAATATATAACGTCATTGTGGTCCTGAAGCACAAGCAGCAGTGCCCGACCGTCATTGTTAGAAATATTTGATTTATACTCCGTTTGTGTTTCATGGGTTGTGTTCTAATGAACTATTACGATGTATAATGTGTGATTCATCTTTTTATTAACTTTTGCTTAAGATTGTTCCAGATAAAGGTATTGCAACTGACGGGTTTTGAAGGAGGCCTGAACATCGTCTATCACATGCTGGGTTGTAAAAGAGACCTGAACAGCCTCTATCACATGTTTCTTCTAAACATGTGTTCTTGGAACAATTCAATTGTAAAACAACCACATGCTTTGTTTTAACATATGTGCTGAGGTTTAAAGTAAGATCCTTTTGTTTCCCTTTCCCTTTAGTTAAACCTCAGCTGGTGTAATTAGGGACATCCCATTTTCTTCAATAAATAGCAAGGAGAAAGCTGAAGACTGCAGAGCGGGGTGGAGATTGTAAACTCCGCAGTCTCCTTCCTATTGTCCTTGCAAGAAACTAAATTAATTGTCTCTGTGCCTTCTTTCTTTCCCTGTATGTATGTATGTTGTTTTAGGTGCTTAGAGCTGACAGTCATACTACCGCCGCTTTATCCCACTGTCACTATGCTGTTTTATCACACCAGAGAATATGTTCAACAAGTCAAGATAAGCCCTACTGCTCAGCGTTGTTTGTGCTGCTGTTCTGTTAAGACAAGTTAGTCTTGAGTTCTTCTTGGATCGTCAATCTGCTCTTCGCTGTCCGTTTTGTAGACATTTTTTGGTTTTTATGTTTTAGTTGGCTAGTAAAGTCTGGTAAAGCTGCTGACTTGAACTCTACAGAACATGATCTCTACCTCGTAAAGAAGCATTCAGAGGAGAAAGACTCACAGGTATAGATAACATTTGAGCTACCGGCTCTCATTGTTCACTTTAGATGGCGACACAAAGTCAAATCTTTCACAGACTTTATAGATTTTTGAAATACTTGGGAGCCTAGCAGACACAGGGGAACTGACTTTTTTTTATTATAATAACTCATATTAGCTTTGGCTAAATGCATTAAACAAATCTGTGCAACAGTATAATAAAGATTTTACATTTCTCTATGCATTCACCTCCATTTCTTGTTAAGGCTTGTGGCAGTCCACTTCATACCACCCAACAGCTTCAATAATCAGCTCAAACCATTCAAACATCTAAACTGACTTCACTCTGCTCTCCCTACATGCATGCAGATATGCAACTAGTGTACCTGTGCAGAAGGAATTAGAATTTGTACAACTGGGAATTGTGGATAAAATCTGCAAGGACATCAAAAACATATTTACATATTGAGTTTAGGTTAGATCTGAATGAAGCACCTAATTTATTAAACTAAGCACGAAAATCCCTCTAAATCAGCAGTTTGTCATCAACAACCAAGACATAATAGGTCACTTAAACCCACTTCCCTTCCTGTTCTGATGCTCGGTTTTAGATAATAAATGCCTTAATCTGACTTGCAATTGCTTTTATCGCTGTGCCCGTGTTAAATTAAAAACAAAAGCATTAAATTTAATCTATATGGAAAGCACTAATTCTACTAAATAAAATATCCCCTAGAATAGTTTTTCCTTGTATTGGAAACAAAATTCATTTCTTTTTGTGATGGAAAAACTGGTTCTTTATTAGGGCTAGGTAAAAAAGCGATTTAATTGATTTTGGATCGATTCCTTTAGATTTTTGCAAAATCGATGTGTAGGGAATGAGAGCGATTAGTTTTATAGTGACACGTGACGTTCACATTCAAATGATCAGGCATGTGCAAATGCCGATTCAAGTAACACTCCGCTCAACAAGCTGTCCCAACTGAAGTCTGATGTCTGGAACCATTTTGGAGTTAAAACAGCTAAAGATAATGTGCTGGATATTTGACATTAAGGCGACTTCCCACTACATTGATAATGAGTGGCACCTCGCAGCTACAATCCACCAAGATGACTTCAAGCCAGACAGCTGCAAATATAGCCTATAAGTTGACTGACGACATTAACAAATGGGGGCTGACCAGCAAACACCCTGTAGTTGTTACAGATAACGCTGCAAATACGGTTTGTGCAGATAATGCAGCTCATGCATGTCTGCTGTGTCACGTCAGCTCTCCCATGTGAGGCTTCACTTTTTCACTTTTCACAAACAAGCTTGAACTTTTGAGACCGTTTTGTTCACATCTCAAGTTTAAACTGTCTGGTTTACAAGTTTGCACTTTGTGTTTAATATCGCAGGAAAAAAATAATTACATGAGTATTTTGAAACACATTGTAAAAGCAGATTGAATTCAAATTAATCAATTTATAACTGTATGAATCAAAACGGAATCGATTCAGCACTTTGGCAAAAATACCCAGCCCTAATCTTTAGGTCAAAAAATGATCTGACCTCTAGTCAAGGAGAAGACTGGTCTTTTATTTAACTTGGTTTGATTTACAAAGAACAACTAAAGTAGAGTTACAAAGAAATACTTATTATCAGTGAGGCATCCATCTCCTGTACCAGGCTGAAAATAAAAAAACGAGCAAAAGCAGAGATTAACCACACGGGAAATGTGTTAAAATTATCTTGGCTTAATCCTTTAAAGTTTGCTCACTGCAGCCAGTTTACAGCCGTTAAGCTTCTTTAAGGGACAGTCGGTTGATTTCAATACAGGAGGATGGTGAAGATAGTTAGCCCACTTTCACTTACCGGAACATTTTGATTAAAAAGTCAAGGAAAAAAGGTAAAAATCTAATTAAAAAGTTAAAAAGGTAAAAAGCTAATTGAAAAGTTAAAAAAGGTAAAAGGCTAATTGAAAAGTTCAAAAGTAAAGTTAAAAAGTTAATAACCCTAGTTAAAAAATATATTTAGGTTTATAAACTAAAAAACTCTAAGTGCCAGTATCAGCAGTAATGCCTCTAAGGTTATGTTGTACCAAAAAAAATGTGTTTCTTTGTGTTTTTCATGAATTTCTTATAGACGCACTTATTTTTTTATTTTTCTTAATATATTCGGGCAAGTAGGCGTTTCTTGTTATTACACTGACATTCAATTTTGCCATCAAAATGTTACAAAGGTAATAAGGTCTTATCCAGGATTCCAATAACACTATTACCTTGAAATGTGGATTTTTAAAGGATTTCACCGAGTGTCCTATAAAGGGTTAAAACAGTGTAACCTTCGTAGCTCTGTGTGAAGCAGCTAATTTTTTTTAGGCTAACCGTCGTGTATTGCGACGCAGAGACGTTTTCCAGCAGTTTATAAATGCAGAAAAAGCTCCTTCTTCTAAAAAACCGAGCTACAGTGCTAGCTAAACCACCGGTGGCGGCAGCCACAAAGCCCACACAGCTGTTCTTAATAGCATCTCCAAACGACCAGCAGCTCCGTCTTACCTCCTTAAAGCTTCGTTCCTCGTTCCCGAGCCAAACTCTGTGTTATCCGACGGTAAATTATTGCGCTCACAGGTAGCGTGCTTTGCCCGTTGTCTAGAGGAGATGCTGAGAGTCCTGCTCGATGATGTTTGAAACGCTAGCTTTCTCCTTTCAACCCGCACACTGTTAAAAACTCCACTTCAAAATATTACCGTAAAGCTTCGTGAGAGTGTGAAGTAACATTTGTATCAGCTTTAAATTAACCAACGGCTAAGAATGAGAAAGTCAAATATTCTATAGATTGATAGAAAGTGATATTAACAATGAAAATGAAATTTAAAAAAAAAAATGCTTGTTTTTCATCAAATAGTTGTAAGTAAAATTAAAAATAGGATAACAACAGGAGGGGAAAAACGTTACCGCCCTCTAGTGGCTGTTTAAACTCGCTACAGACTGTGCGCCTTTTAAAAACTTTTACGGTTTGACGCCAACGCATACGCAGAGTAGAAGGATAGTGTATGCGCGTATGCCATTTTGTGAGTGGCAAAGTTGGGTCTTATCACAAAAAAGAAAAACTAAAATATACATGTAATAATTCTGAAGGATCATTTAAATAGAAAATATAGTTTCTGTTTTAAGAAACAACAAGAAAAGCTTTTTTTTGTCAGACAAACCGATATTGCGTTTTCCCTCGTAATGGTTTTAATGAAAAACCATTAAGAAAAATGTACGATATCTGCAAACCAAAAAGGAACCACGGTAAGCCCAAAATTAATCAAAACTAGTCTTAACTTACCAGTGTTTTACGGGTCCACTGAAAAAAATTAAAAAAGTTAACTGATTTTTAATTTTTATTTCAGTTTGATATGGGAAAAAAGTCAGAATTCTGATATTGAGTTAGAATTCTGATACTGAAGTCAGAATTCTGTGATTAAAGTCAGAATTCTGAGATTAAAGTCAGAATTCTGCCTTTCCCCCCCCATAGCAAACTGAAATAAAATAATAATAATAAAAAAAAATCAGTTGACCTTTTTTATTTTGAATCTTCCGTATTCAAAACAAAAATTCTTAAACTAAATAGTTATTAATATAAATATCGTTATTAAGTTGTATGGTAAAAAAAATATTCATGAAATATGATTTATAAAAATTACCAAACCTCAACATTACACGTTTTTATTTATTAAAAAAACGTATTTATTCAACTATTTTGTTTATAAAAAAAAAAAAAAATCTTTTCCCGTTACAATCGAACCGACTTAATCATTTAATTTGGTAAAATATAAATGCGAATAAAACTGTTGCGTTTAGATACAGATACGGCCTGGTGCTCTCTGTTTTTGTGTTTAGCTTCTAGTCTTCTATATCTATGGCACGTACGACCGACGCATGATGCAAAAGAAAGAACCAATGGGTTTTTGAGAGGGGCGGGACAAACTCGAAAATAACGGAACCAATATTCCCGTATACGGGAAAAAAACCGTAATAATGTAAATGATAAGCTGTAATACTGTTGTGATAATCGATTTCTGATGTACAGGGAGACTAAAACATGCTTGACATGGAGCTGGGACTACACTAACGTAAGTTAGCCAATCGATAAGCATTAAGCTAAGCTAGCTGAGAGCCATTGTCTGCCTAAAATGAATGAAAAGCTTTAATTTTCTTTTAATTCGATTTCATTTTGAATCAAATCAGTTTTGTATGGTGTACCAATCGGGCTTTATATTACTGTAGCCTACTGCAAACCTTGATCCCCTGTCCTTTCAATCCCAGCACCAGTATTACTCTGATCATCAGTAACATAATGGTTTGCTGCGTGTTTACACTGGATGGATAAAGTAACAGCTGATTGTCTGCAGTGATGAGGCCGTCCGGACAGTGAGATGTCTCTGGCTCAGAGGGTTCTGCTGACCTGGGTTTTTACCCTGGTGTTTCTAATTATGCTGGTGCTGAAACTGGATGGGAAGGTATGACATTTTCTTACAATCTTCATTGATTTTTTTTCCTATTTTTTTATCAAAAATATTTCAGTTTTAAATATTTATATAGAGACCCTGAGACAATAATGTCCCCCTGCTTTACAGCTAAAGGTATTTTAGGCTATACGAAGACAGAAATGTGTTTTAAAGTTTTTAAATATTCTGAATTGTAGCTCAGATTCTTAGATTTAGGTCTAGACTTTGACTAGGACATTCTAACACAGTATATTTTGCTCTCCACACCTCTTTAATATCTGGCTTTATTTTTTTAGGGTTGTATAATTTCCCCTCTGCTTCTAAATGATTCATTACCTTAATAATAAACTCCTCTTCCTCTCCCCAGGTGCAATGGAACTGGTTCCTCATCTTCCTTCCAGTCTGGATCTTTGATGGCATCCTCATCCTCATGCTCGCCATCAAGATGGCGGGGCACTGCAAACCTGGGTACGACCCGCGCAACGGCTCGCCAGACCTGCGTCTGCGCACCTGGTACCTGACCGCCATGCTGCTCAAACTGGGCTTCTGCCTGACGCTGTGCGCCAAACTGGAGAAACTGGCCGATTTGAAGCTGACGTTTGTCTGCATCCCGCTGTGGACCATGCTGCTGGGCGCACTGGTTGAACTGGGGGTGAACATTTTTCCTGAAAGACGAGAGGCTTGAAACAATCTTATGTTGTAGTCCCAACACTTTCTATAGTAGCGGGGGTAAAACTGGCTCTAATTTCTTCATGGAAAAGCAACTGTTTGTTAAACTGTGAAACCAACACTGGAGAAAGTAAACTTTTATTTCGAATGTTCATTATTATTTAATATTTAAATAGTTTGTGAAAGGCTGCAGTTCAGGGTGCATGTATTGTTATAGATGATTTCCACATGCTGTGGATTCCTGCACACTTCTAATTTCATTCCTTAGCAAACCTCCTAGCATAATTCCGTCATTTAGAATCCATCTGATATTGTCCCTTTTCTACTCTCTATATATATATATATCATCTCATAGGCTGTTATTCCATCTTTGCATGCAGGGTTGGTCCAACTTGAAGACTTTCTACAAGCTGTTTTATTTGTGAACTGGGTTTCAGTCCTATTTAGATGTTCTTGTACAAATGTTTATGTTGTGCCAACATTTTTTTTTTTTGCACTTTACTCAAAAAAGAAAAACAAACACCAATAGAGTCTGTATGCATGTGATGTAATTAATAAATGGCTAATTTCTATTACTTGATAATTTGCTGTTGTGGCTTATTGATATTCCAGAGCAGGGGAGCACAGTGTTTGAAATGGCCTGAAGAGAGGAACCACCAGAGGAGAGGCTGCCCTTTAAAGGAAACTGTCCTGTCTGACATGCAGTTAAGCAGGCTGCATACAAACGTTTAAACAATATTACACAACACTTCTTAACATATTTATGACTTAACAGCAGGTTAATATCCTGAAATGGAACGGCGGTTTCAGTCTTCACACAAAAAAAATCCTTAGTAGCTTCATTTTTCTTTCCAAAAAAAAGTTAAAAACAAACCACGGGACTTTGTTTTCTAAGTTGGAAGATGTTGCTATAAAGCCTGGAGCTCAACACTACTCCAGACATTTTGAATAGAAAAGCGTCCTGGATGGGAAATTGGAAAACAAAGTCTAGTGGTTTGTTTTTAACTTTTTTTGGAATGACTATGACCTGGATGACTGAGAATCTCCACCAGCAAAGTTTCATCTTTCTAAACCAGATTTTCAGTTAGAAAGCTCTAAAGGTCGACTGAGATCATCTGGCGCAAAAGCAAATATGGACATAAAAAAAAAAAAAATCTGGTTTGAGGTGATGTGTCAACTTCCTGAATCAGAGATGCAGTCTGGAAGCGTATCGGTATAAATAGGACAGGTTAATAAAAAAACACTAAAGAACAGCATTACAAAGCATACATGCATCCTTTTATCAGCTGTCGTACTTCAATCTGAGTAATTTTATGCAAAACATTCATGGTTACTGAATGTAACGCAAGCGTTCCCTTTCTCTTCTTTTCAGAAATAAAGTATTCCTGACTCAGTGCTTCTGTATTTACGTGGATTTTTATTCCTAACTAAGCTACTGCTGCCATCAGCTCCTCATACTCCTCATGTTCTTGCCAAACTACCCTCAGTCCAGTATTTCTGTTTACCGGTAGTATCCCTAATGAAGCTACTGCTACTATTTACATTTCATACGTTTAGTTTTCCATAGAGCAGGGCTCTGCAACCTTTCAAATCCAAAGAGGCATTTTACCCCGAGCTTGGCTACGTAAAAAGTCGAATAGAGTCACAAAATATAAGACGTTTTATTAAAACACGACCCATTTATGTTAAATATCGGCCTCTGAAAATCTGTTGCCACCAGTCAACCAACAGTTTCTTTGTATTTTTAGCTTTTAAAATAAGGAAAAATTATCGATAAATAAGCATGGATTTCCTTCCTTAGGCCATTATTTGATGTAAATAATAAAAAAGTAATAAAACATCATTTTCCAGTTAAAAGAAAACAAACAGCGATAAAAACATGTCTGATTCTTTTAATAGCATTCTGTTGTTAAAATAAATTCAATTAAGATATTTTAAAAACCACTAAGGTTTCGTGGACTGGTATTTGTTATTATGGTATATTAGTTACCCCTATATATACACTTTTTGCCACTATTAAGAGCCATTGTTAAGTCTCCAAAAAGTCACATGTGGCTCAGGGGCCACAGGTTGCAGACCCCTGCCTAAGAGGGTTCCCCTTTCCTGTCCTCTGAAACAGTTCAAGCAGCAGATTTCTTACCATTTAGTGTTTTGTTCCACTGTCGCCTTGTGCTTGACGGTGGAGAGACTGCTGCAATCTTCAAATGCAATCATTGAACTTTGATTGGAAATATGTTTATTTTTGTGATAAATAAATCTGAAATTAATTAAATCAAGTTGGATTACATTTAGGTTTAATTGGATGTGAAAAAAAATTTAGTTTGTAAATAGTTTTCAGATGCAAACAGTTGAATTCATTCAATCATAACAGACAAAACATTCGCCGTGAAACAGTTTTCATACTTTGAACCTTTTATTAGCTAGGCTCATATTTAAAGTAGAAACCACACTACAAGTTGTTTTTTTTCCCACCTCTTTACAAAAAAACTCTTATGTACACTTCATTGCTGACAGTTGAAATAACAACTAGCATGAAAAAATAAACAAAACTCGATATAAATAAACTCTGTGAAAACAGTCCTGGCCCCTGAGGACTTGTGTTTTCAACCGAAGGGTTTGTTACAATTTCACATAAAATAAAAAAAATCCTGTAATGTCTGTAACGTCTAAACCCAAAGCACAAAAAGAGCTGCAGAGCGCCACACGACTGCCATCAAGTGCTTAATTATCACCTTTATCTCCCCAGAGCCACAGCGAGTAGAGTCCTTAAAACTGAGTCGTTTGAGGCAGGAATAAAAGCTAAGGCTTTCTTCTTCCAATTCAAGAAAACAGCGTAGCATTCTTCTGAGTCTTATTTAAAACATAGATAATTGGAGGCTTTTCAGCGGATTTGGAAACCAAATTAAGGCAGTGCTCTCGTAGTTTAGAGAGAACTTCAACTGCGACTCATAAAAGGACAAAACTCCCTGCGCTGATCGCCTGTGGAGCACTGAGGAGTTCACAGTTAAGGACAGGCACTGGGGAAATGTCTTGGGCTACATTAGCGAGTGGGCTGTACTCCAGTATAGACGGCCAACAGGAAAAAGACACTGGTGCTGTCATCTTTAAAAGGTCCACAGATGTGGGCCACATTCAGGTCACTTCAGTCCCTGGCTGATAAATAAAAGCTTTGCTGAACACTGCTGCAAAACGAGACCGGTAAACCTATTAATAATGCTGTGGAGACAACCTCTAAACAGTAGACCATCTGTTGTGAAAATGTAAAAACCAAATACTTTAGATTAGTCTCTGAAGAGCCTGAAGTCATCCAGAGATACAACACTTCATCAAAAATGTCAGTTTGAGAGCAGAAATAAATAAATATATGTATTTCATGACTAAGCATGGGTTAGCATGAGATCCTGACGGGTTAAACACAATCTTTCCTCTTTATTTGAAGCTTTATTTCCTACTGCTGTGAAAATACAATGTTTATAATTACAGATAAAACAGTTAATAAAAAAACAAAAACAAAAGAGAAGCATAAATGAAAATTAAAACTTGCCAATTTTTTAATTTCATTCTTCATTTTAACAGATTGTATTTTTCCCCCCTCATTGGGAATGTTTTCCATCCTGCAACCTCAGCTGACTAACTGGCAGTGTGCAGCAACAGGTGAGGGAGGGGCAGCACAGCTTTGTAACCCAAACCGTTTAATTCCTTGTTGTACTTTAACCGACCCATGCCTAGTTTTGAACTCCTGCATATTGCTCTTTGAATTACAATTTTCGGGTATCTGGATGGTTAAACGTCCAAAGCTGAAGTCTGTAAGTTTTTAAAAATCACTTTTTTGTCATATCGGCTAAAACTGTCCCTATCCCCAGACAGCAGTACATGTGATATGTAACCTGTGAAAAAAACTGCTTCAATTGGTACCGCCTACTGCCTGTATTTCAATCTGGAAAGAATAATTCGGGACGAGTCAAAACAACCAATCACAGCCAGAGGAGCGTCTGATGGAGTGTCAATCACAGCTCACACACGCTGAATCCCCCCCCCCTTCTGGTCGCATGCGGTAGCCGCGCAGATGCTGTGAGAGGGGTGGAGCTTGGAGGTGGGGCATGAGTGAAGCAGAGAGGGTGGGGGAGTGACGTGAAACCTGTTTTTGTTCAAATTTTCAGTCGAAGTCTGCTCTCTTCTCAATGTTACAGACTGCAGCTTTAAAGGAGCTTATCTGCAACATTTCAGTCATAACTTGGTTAAGAATTCACTTTTTCTGCGTAAAAAAACAAAACAACGTAACAGTAAAACCAATGAAGCGAGATGGAGGTGTTTTCCTGAGACAGTCTTGGCTGATGTTGAGCTAACTCCTCAACTAAAACTCACCTAAACAGCCAAAGACATCGAAAAGTGATATTAGAGCAACAGGTAGAAAATGACCTCGAGACTTCAAATGGTCTTTCCTTTTAGCCAATGAAACACCTGAAAAGTTTAGAAAAGTCTTTTCGACATTCTTCATGTGTTCCACCGTCTGTTTAAAATGTCAGTAAAAACACAGATAGAGAATTCTGTTTATTTCAGCGGATTATTGCAGAGCCTTATTGCTCTAAATACAAAACGGTGAGAGAAGTGCAGCCACCACCAACTGGCACTGATAAATAGAGAAAATGCTTTTTTTATCAGTGCACAACTGAAATAAATAAACCCCCAAAGTAGAAGCATAAGCTGCAATTCTTATAAAAAAAAATCTAAAAGGCTTATTGAAATAAAACGTGTTTCTCCTCCTATCTGATGGCCACCAGGGACCTAAACTGAACCAGTTGGGGTTAAAACAGATGCACCCTTCGCTTCCTGCAAGTAAAATGAAATGTAGAAGAGTTTTTAACTCGAGTCTCAGGAAAATCTGATGCTCTTTAGTGCGGGGTCTGGGATCATACAATGCCTTGAATGAGAATTCATACCCACTGAGCTTTTGCTGTTATATTTATTTAAGTTAAAAAACACAAATCTCAAAGTATTTAACTGGACTAGAGCTTGTAACAAACCAACACAAATAAAGCAAGTTTTTAGTGCAAAGGAAAGTGTGAAATGCATTCAACCGAATCAAGGAGTTTTGGTCTTATGAGAGATAAATGGAACCTTTTAGGAAACAAAACGACAGGAAAGATTTTGCACACCACTCTGAAACAAAGTGGAGGTAGCAGCTTAAAAGGGGCTAAATAATAAAAGCTGCACTTTTTTATTTTTTTATATCTTTATCTTTAAAATCTTTAACACATTTTCCTTTGCACTACTTCATGTTGAACTGTCCAGTAAAACCTCAATAAAATATATTCAAGATGATTACTTGTAGTGTGACAAAATGAAAAGTTCAGGGTATAAATGCTTCAGAAAGGCACAGTATTTTAGTCCCAGGCTCCTTAATAACACACTTTACTTCCTCCTCTGTTCTTTTTTACAGTTTTACAACAGCACAACCAAAACAAAACCTCTTACATTTACAGTTATTTAAATTTAGCATCACTATGTACAAATACCACTATAAAATCTGTTTCTGCTCATCATCATGCCTTGGAGGAGGAGGGAAGATAGAAGGGGAGTGCTGAGGAAAGGGGGGAGGAGGTGGGAAAGGGGGAGGAGGCGGAGGCGGTGTGGAGGATGGGGGAGGAGGGGGTTGAGGGGGAGTGAAAGACTGCGACAAATGGAGCTGAGGCTGCATCGGTCCTGGGGTTTGGTACTGTGGCTGTAGTGGGTAAGAACCGGGCGGCTGTGGGAGGAAGGACTGATGGGGGAGGAAGGGGTGAGAGGGGTAGCCGGAGTGCTGGGGGGGGAAGAAGGTTTTGGCAAACTGGTGATGGTAGGAGAAATGAGGCGGGACAGACTGGGAGCTGGTGAGGGGCTGAGAGGAAGAGGAGGAGGGGGACATGAGGGGAGGCTGGAAGTAGGAGTGAGACTGTGAGGAGAGGCTGGACTGGGGGGGCGGGTAAGGGTGGTTCAGGTGAACCGAATGTGGCGGTCCCGCCTGACTGAGGAAAGAGTTCAGAGAGCGCTGCTCATGGGGATGGCTGGAGATGGGGTTTTGTGGGAGGATGGGAGGCTGATGAGGAAGATGGGAGTGGGGCAGGAGGGGGGAAAAAGGAGGAGGAAGCATCTGAGGGAGGTGTGGGGATGGGTATTGCTGCATGTAGACCCCTGGCCGTGAGGCGTCTGGCGCCAGATGTTTATGCAAATCACTGAATGTCCTGGAGTCAGAGTCGGTGCTGTGAGTCCTCGTCTCTGACTCGGAGGGCGTTTGTGTCCGTGTTTCCGTTGCCGGGTGAGTCCATCGGTCTGCGGCAGGTCGGCCCTGCGACATCCTTACGTCTGACTGCGCCTGCGTCCGGGCGATCAAATCCTTATTGTCCGACTGGGAAGAGGCAGGTAGCTGGCAGGAAGACGAACCGTTGGAAGGTGGAAGAGCTTTTAAAAGACTTTCTGCCGCAGACTTGGGACTCGTCAGGGAGGAAGAGGAAGTAGACGGAGAAGAGGTGGGCAAAACAGAGGAAGGAGAAGAGGTAGAAGACAAAGTGTGAGAAGAAGTGAAGGCAGCTCCAGCTGAAGGAGAGGATGACACACAGGTGGAAGACTTGGAGTACGGTGGAGAACATGAGGATTTCTGAGCCAACGGGGGGACATTTGTACCGGAAGACCCCGTCCTGCTGTCTGAGTGAAGGTGAGGCAGAGGTTTAGCTGAGCCTTTGGATTTCATGTCCTTATGAGAAGAAGGAGAAGCAGGAGGAGGAAGAGGCGATGATGATTCCTTCTTACAAGGAGAAGCTGGAGCCTCTGCCTTCCCCTTTGAAGGAGAAGAATCCCATCTGGGTTTTTCATCCGCTTTCCTTCCGGTTTCCAACTCTTCATCTTTGCTGACATCTGAGAGAGAGGGCTGAGCGGACAGAGGACGATCATCTTGTTCTTCCTTTACTTCAGTGAGCAACGTCCTTTTATCTGCCACATCCACCTCCTCCTTCACTTCATTCTCTCTCTTCTCTCCATCCTGCTCCTTGGTCACGGCCACGTTTTCCTCTTCTTTCAGCTCGCTCCGCTGCTCCTCCTCTTCCTCTTTTTGGTGATACTGCTGCAGGCGGACGTGCCATGCCAAGCTGCAGACGGCAGACACTGTCTTGAACTGGTGGACCACATTGCGGGGGATGAAGTAGATGTCGTCGTGGCAAAGGCGGATGCGGGCATAGCGGATGCCTTCCCGCCGGAGCTGGTTTAGTTTGGCATCATCCACCCACTGCACGCACTATGATAATCAGACACAGGATGTGAGCAACAGGCTAATGAATGTTCTATCAGACAAAACAACTTAATAAAGGGACGTTTCACATTATTAACGCCAAAAAGTAATGAAGCAAACCTGATATTTTGAACAAATATTTTGTTTCTCACTTTTCAAGGCACAACGTAACACCTTATGAGATATTAAGAGCCTACTTAATGTTGTAATAAAAGTTCTATTAAAATCTTGATGCTACAGATCAGGCAGTAGTCAGGTGTTATGTTTATTTACACATACAGCCTTTAACAAGGAAATTCTTGGTGAATAACAACCATTATAAGTTAATTAATATTATCTATATTTGATGATAAAATGAGTGTGGCGATCTGAAATATTTAAAAGGAAGAAGTATTTATAAAATATGAAAAACCAGGCATACATTGCAGAAATATCGAGGTTATTTTCTGCTTTCACAGATTTTTATTTCTTACAACACATCTGAAAAAAAAAACTCTTACCTCAAAAGCATAAAACAAATTAACTTTCCAAACCTTCAGCCTTTATTAGCACTGATCAACATTACTGTCTCCTTATTAAACTAGAAAAAAGAGCATCTTATCCACCAGGGGGCAGCATTGACTGACGTGGATACATCAACGCAGCGGGCTAAATTCTCTACCATATTGGGGAAATCGCTTCGACATGTGTGCTTATTTGCTTGTGGTTGTGTGTAAATGATCACCTGAGACAGCGGAGGTTCGTACAAGTCCAACTGCAGCCTCTGGACGACGCAAGGGAAATCACCAGCGTGGAAACACACCACATCTTTGGTTACACGAGGAGGCTCCGAGCTGAAATTGAAGCAGGGAGGAGGAAAACAGAGCGATGACGCGCCATCCGTCATGGAAGAAGTTGTGTAAACAATAAGTGCGTGTCACCTCCAGACAATATCTCCTACCTTTCCACAGCACAGACGGCCTTTAGCACCCCTACAGCTGCTGTGGTCTGACGCTCAAAGCCCTGACCGATGTGATCAGCGTGGGCTCTGGTCCGATCTTCAAACAGCACCTCTCTGGGCTCGCTGGTTCTCGGCATCGATTGGAGCAGATTCTTTACCTCGTTAGTGGAGCTAAAGGAAAAAAACAACAACAGTTTTAGGTCTGCTTCTTTCCTGCTTGGTAAATAAATGCAGCTATGACTAAAAGGTGAGGGGGAAGATTGTGCTTATCTGAGAGAAGATTTTCAGGACTCATTATGATCCAACATTTAAGCATAAGGGTTTGAAGTAAAAGACCCTTTAGTCATTCAGTAAAAAATATCTCACACAAAATAATTACAGATAGTTTCCCCCCGATGTTTCCATCTATGGTTTACAGTGAAAATAAGGTTACACAGTCATAACATTTTAATGTAATGAGGAACAAAATGTTTTAATTCATTAGCTAAAAGCATTAATTATAAAAAGGTGACAGACATATGAACTTAAAAGTATGTAATTCTGTATTACTTGATGCTATATTGGTTATTTATAAAACACCAACATATAGGGCAGGGCTCGATGTTAACCATCGCCCGATCTCCCGGGGCAAGTAGTTTTTATTTTTGGGAGAGTACAAATTTCATTGCATTTGCCCGCCGACCAAGTGCGATGATCGCAAAACATTGGAGAGGTAAATTTAAATGTTAAAGAGCTAAACATGTTAAATTGGTGACCTGTTATGTTACTATTATTGTCTTGTTGCGGCATTTATTTTGTCAGGGAAAACTAATCCAGAGTCAGTTAAAAGTCAGGGAATTCTGAAATTATGTAAGACTGGAAACCCTGTATAAAATAACTATGTATAATGATTCTCTAGAAAAGTTGCATTATATTAATATTATTATCTTGTATAAACATACCGTGGCTCTAAAATAAAAGTTATTCATTTGTGACATTGACTTCTGTCTTGTGATTTATCTTAAGTTGTTAACCTGTTTTTTTTTTTTGATTTTTAACATTACAATTTATATTTTTCCAAGCACACAACAGTTTAAAGCAAAGTTTAGTTTGAAAAGATGTGCAGGAAGGATTGAAAAGCATGTTAACACGGTAATGTAGGCTTGAGTTCATTATCTGACGCATGCATATACACACCAGGAACCTGGAAACTTAAAAAATACTGAATTCCAAAAAACATTTAAAAAACAAACATGTTTCATTTATATATACACAAAAATGAATATTAGGAACTATATTTATCAAACATTATACTGGGCAAGTAAAAATTGTTTCTGGGCAAATGAAATGTGAAAGTCGCTTGCCCGAAGGGCAAGTGGTAAAAATCCTGAACGTCAACCCCTGTAGGGTTTGATCTGGATTATTTTAAATTAGGTCCAAATAAAATTCCTTTAAGAGTGGAAGCACTACATCAGATCTAGTTTATTTTTAGATTAACCTGAAGGTAAACAATAAGGGATTATTGGTAGAAAAACAAAACCGTTTGGTCTTCCAGGGAAGCCAAAAGGAATCATTTAATCAGAGGCCTTCAATTTTTCCCTCAGATTTTGAATTTCTTTAAATCTAACAATAGAATAAGAACAGGGAACCAGTACACTCATACAGAAGTGGCTCTATATATTAGCTTAAACATAGGAAATGAAGACTATGTGTTTTATGTTTACTCTGGATTTTGTAGCATAACAGGAGTAAAAGCATAAAAATGAGCCGCACCGCTGAACAATAGAAGTACTGCAGTCAGCTCACTGCTAGATCAGTGACTCACACCGGAGCTGCATTCAGGTTCAAACGGGAGGCTGAACACACATGCAGGAAATATTAGGGAATCCTCCAAGACACAGTGCACATATAAACACGGTCAGAGGAACAGCTAGACTCTCCATGCTGTGCTCATTCATTCAGAGATAAGAAGAAAGAAGCATGAGCCGCTGGAGAAGGAGGGGGGGACAATATTGCTGAGCGGAGGGATGGATGAAGTCGAACACACGCATATCTGAGTCTGTGTGCGCGCTCCGGCTGACAGTAATAAATGTAAAACCAAAAAAGCTGATAAGTGCAACAGTAGGAGAGACTGTAGTGAAGGAAAAAAAATCCATCTCAAGCGTAACGTTTAAAATAGATCCTAAAGCATTCTCTATATGTGAGGTCTTGTTTTTTTTGCTTCCATGCATGGGAGTGTGTATCCTGTCAGGACAGATTTATGTATATTTATGGGCAGATAAAGTAGGGATGAGGAAAGGAGAGGAGTATGTGAGGTACGACTAGGAGAACTGAAACAGTAAGAAAGATGGGAGGAGGGAGAGTAAAGTACCACAAGATAAGGGGGGTAGAAAATACAGTAAAGATATTTCTGTTTAATCTCTAAGCAGAAATCCATTTAAGGCTTTTATGCACAGCCTTCATTTTTAAATTGAATGTAGCAGTAAAGCAAAGAAAAACACTTCAACAACAAATCTATCCTAATTTATTTTTATTTATTTTTTTATAGAAAATAAGCTAAAAATATAATATAAACCTATAAATATACAGTGTAGAAAAAAGATTATTATTCAGCCTGCAGCATAGTTCTTTTCTGGCCTAAAAAGAGGGGTTCCGTTTAAAAAAAAAAAAAATCAGATTAGCAAAAACTAGAAGTAAATTGTTTTAATTTTCCTTAGATACATTAAACTGTTGCCAGTTTCTATTGTTATGATGTCATTTCTATTGATTAGCAGAATATTGTTAAAAAGAAAAGATCCAGGAGTGATAAATTGGTAAATAACTAAGCATCGTCTTTAGCCTCCAGCAGCCATGTTTAGTAAATGCCAAGAATATGAACTTTTAGCTAGACACATGCAAACTACAGATTGTCTGAACTGTGCTTAGAAGTAATTGTCTATTTTATTAGGCTACATAATTACATATTATGCAATGATGCGATTATATATTATATTTTGCAGCTGGCATCCTGGTATCCATAGGAGACGGGTTAATTTGTTATTTCGCCAAAAGAAAGAAGAATCAGAGATCAAGCGACAGTTGAAATAACATCTGGAACAGAAAATGGATATAAAGTTCAGCAAAGCTCCTCTAACGGTAACACTTGCATTGATTTCACACCATGGCAGCTCCTCGGCTTTGTGGTTAAATAAAATGTGTTTGGGTCAGTCTTAATTTACTAAATTAGAGTTTTGTGGTTTTATTTATGTTATATGCGTTTTGAGGATGAAGATTGTGGTGGATGGATGACAGATGTGGTCTGGAGATGTACATTACATCTGTGTGCGTGTATCAAAGGAGATTTAGCAGAACTTTCTCATGTTGGTTAATGTTGAATTAATATTAAGCATTTACATCATTTGTTGCACCCCTGGCCTCCATCAGTAATTTTCATCGACTGTTTTCGGATCAAATGATTTTTCTTTTCATATTTTATTTTAACATTTCTAACGGTAAAACCACGTTGTTTAAAACTATTTATTTCCCACTTCTTGGCTTTATACTGGCCCTTTAACAGGAGATCCTCGCTCTGCGAACCTTTAAAGTTGAATTTATTCGTCTTTAAAGCCATTTCAATGAATTAACACTTGCATGTTCCCATAGTGGTATGGGAATTCTTACTCTTGTATGGAATGATGGTGATTATCAAGATTTATATTTCTCTGGAACAGGCGCTCACGTTTATGTGGACCATTTTCTAAAGTTAAGACATTTGCTGAATCTGATGTTGCGTTCGTAAAAGTCCAAGTTAGGAGAAAAAGTATGAGAAATTTATGACAAGAATACGAAAATACTGTTTAAGGCCTATTATTTTCGACAAACCTCGACATAAACAAGTTTACCAATTGTTTTTTGGACTTTGATTGCTAATTTAAACAGCCAACACTAGCCTCTAAAGCACAATGTTCCACAAACGTATTATTGCAATATGCAACAATCATGTAACAAATATATTTTTATGCTAGGCATTCAGGCTAATTCAAGCATGTTTTTCTAGCCACAGTTTAAAGATATTGCTATTGGAAAAAAAACATTTGGTTTCTAATTATGCAAAATAATTACACACCTCACGCAAATCTCCTTCCCAAACAGCTGAGCTATTTTTGGTGTATTTTCATTCAGTGATCACTATAATCAGAGATTTTCCAGACAGTCTCAGCTCAGTTAAAAATGGGGAGAAAAAAAAAATCTTGACCTTTTCACTAAAACCACCAAAAAACAGCAAAAGGGCACACAGTCACGTCCTTCAAAACAACATCCACAGAAGCTGCAGCCATGGACCAACTCCAAACATGATCACATTCTCATCTTTCTCTGTGCGTACTGCTTGCTTTTCCAATCTAGTTTTTTTCCCCTTCGCCTCCACAAACAAAAGATCCTCCAGAGCTTTGACATTTTCAATATATGAGCTTATTTTTCCATGCTATCTAGCTTCCTGAAAACACCTGCATAATAACTCTGCTATAATCAACTTAAAAGCGGTAAGAGGAGGTCAAGAGGATGAGGCTGAGGAAAGATGAGAAAGGAAACAGAGAGATAGCGTCGATGTTTATAAGTCAGAGGAGGACAAGGACAGGAAGGAGAAGGAGATGGGTAGAGCAGATGAAATAAATAGAAAGAGTAAATGGCAGCTCTTGAATTTAATAAGGTTTTACATTGAAATAGAAAATGAATCATATAAAGACATAACTGGATAAAAAAGCCTTAGAACAATTAGCTGTATGTCCACATTCATTTCAAAAAGTAACAAAAATGTACTTAAATAGAAGAGCTTAAATGGATTGGGATCAATAGGAATGACCGGTGTGCAACGTCCCTGGTTTGGCTTTCAGCCACGAGAACCAAACTGATGCAACGCTGATCTCATCCGAGCGGTGAGCCACACACCGCTAACACCACACACACAAACCCGTGCTGGTTTTTTACTCGTCTCACTCACAGGAGTCGTGCACTCGACTGTTTTAGGCCCCGCTGATATACGAGCAACAATGATAGCGTGACACAGGCAAACCGAGAGGGTAATTGCCTCATCCAGTCCAACTCGACAACAACAAAGCTTCAAGCCGTTACCACGACAGCTGGTTGAAATTGGTAAGAGTTTGATTTAAATGTGTTATTCTTACTATAAGTAGATAGAAGCACCAACTGAAAACACAAAGGAGGGCTGGCTTAACAAGGCACAAACAAAACAAGAAGACTTTACGGAAAGACTCACCGCTTTCTTTTAAAAGGAGACTTTGGTATATCTGCCACAGGTATCATCTGTTCTCCTGGTCTGACCCACATTATGGGACCATCGTCGCTCTTTGTTGGACTCATGCCTCTGAGGCTGGAAAGCGTTCCCCATGGAAGAGTCCGCTGGATTCAGACAAGCAGAGGAAAAGGAGTGAGGAATAGCTTCATATCAAAGCAACATGCAGAAACATTTATCAGCTGTTCATAAGATTATTTCCTGCTCCCAAGAATTTGTGACAAACTCCTTCAAGATGCAAGAAATTCAGAGCATAATAAAAAGCCCCAGTAGATTTCCAATCTGCTCTATGCAAGAAAACAAGACAGCTGAGGCATAATCTTCCCAGCAGGTTTTAGGAATACATAGAGAAACTCTAGTTTCAACATTTTTGTCACATTACAAGCCCAAAATGTCTCCATCAGGCTTTTAGCTAGCAGTGTGCTACGGATGCACCTTTTACTAAAAATATTATAAGTTGTACGCCCCTGTTTTTGCGATGTACGGCTCTGGTACACCTTAATTTTCTCCCGGATTATGGTGGAATATCAGATGTCCCTACAGAGAACTTAAGCTTGAAACTGAAAAGTTTACGAAAACTCATTAAATGCCTGATAACTATAGGATTATTCTGGAGGGTTTTTTGGGACAATATTGTCCGTGGAATGGGGGAAAAAACAACATCTAACATAAATGACAACTCGGGAGGGGCGCGATCTGTACTAAATCCGCAGCAAATCTCAAACAGATGCTGCAGTTTTTTCATAGTTCTTCCAGTATAATTGGAGTATTTATTTCCAAAAGATCGATAAATGGATGTTGTTTGTGGATAATGGCGTACTTCTTTTACCCTTTGGACACTACAACTGGTATAACTGCCCTTCAGCGCATCATACCTGCTTGTGTAACACATCAGCTAACATTTAAAAAATGTACTAAGATACATGAAAATGTGACAACCAAGTTCAGGTTAGTTTCAGTGACAGATATATTCTTAACAGAGTGGATACACAGAAATAAAAGCAGTCCTGGCACTTCGTCCTCTGTTGGTCTGCAGATTGTGTTGTAGCATTTCTAGACTGTTTTTCAGTTTGTTCAACTTGTTGTATATGTAATGTAGTAAGGAATGTTGGCCTTGTCGGTTAGAGCAGTGCGCCTGTGCTCTGAGGAGGTTCGATCCTGAGCAAGACCCTTAACTCCACACTGCTTCTCGGCACCACACAATGGCAGCCTACCGCTTCCCAAGGGGATGGGTCAAATGCAGAGATTGAATTTCCCCATTGAGGGAAATAAAGGGATTTATATTTAACAATCAAGTTTTGCCTTTAGCAGTAAGTTTAGGTTACACTCTGATTGTTTGAATTAACCTATGAAATATAATATTGTACCTAAAAATTATCTCATGTCCTCCTTACGACATTTCCAACTCTAGTCAAGCAGAGATACTTCCCATAATTAGGACAAAAATAGTGTTGTAGCAAAGTCAAAAAGTTAGCTGCATTCCACCTAAAAATGCAGGAAATAGAGTTTCAGAGAGATGAAATTTCAAAATTGTCCAGGGGAGGACAACCCCGGTCCCCGTACGCTGCGCAAAGCCTAAAGATGTGATACAGAGGTGAACACTGTATGAATATTCCAACTAAAAGCCTGCTCTACATATTTAAGCTTTTTGATGGATGGGAAGAAAAAAACAGAGTGACCTTTTGAAGAAGGAAAAGTCTTTTCATATAGATCTCAATGCAAGGTAATTCAGGAATAACCGCAATTAGAAACATCCCCAAACATACAGCCGTAGAGATGCAGCCTGATCAGGAGGATATATTTGTGGAAAAGATACATTTAATTAATTCACAAGTATGCTTTGTTTTGACTATGCAAATCCCAATGAACAAAGAAATTAGTGATTTCAATGGGAGGAAAAAAACAACTAAAAAAGTACTGTATTATCAAGTTCCATTACTCTATGGCAGAGGTCTTCAACATTTTCCAGGCCAAGGACCCAAACTGATGGCGAGACGGAGCGGGGACCCCCTAATGATATATATTGTATGAAATTGTGTTATATCCAACTGGTCCTATAGTCACTCTATTACAGATTGAGTCATGTAACAAAAGTAATTTCTCCCTGGGATTATTAAAGTATTTCTGATTGGGACAGGTGTTGTGAATGAAACGGTGCCCAACTTGAAAGAGCTCCTGTGTGTCGCTGAATGTGTGCATTGATGACTGAAAGACATCTTCTGCCTCCATTTATCTGTTTACTACAGTGTGTTGAATTCATGTTAACGTGTATTTAAAGACATTTCAATTAGTAGAAAAAAATGCAGGGTGGAATATAAAAAAAAAAAGTCTAATCAACCAAAATTTTCGCGACCTCCATGCAGTACCTCCGTGGACCCCTACGGGTCACGGACCCCTGTTGAAGACCTCCGCTCTGAGGAGACATTAAGAGCAAGCTAGGAGCTGTATCAAGAATAACCGCCTGATAAATCTAACGCCCTAGTATATTAATGGGGGTAGCATCTTGAATTATTCTTCATCTTTTGAGTATATCTACAAAAAATTCAAATAAAACACTGATCTAATGACAGGTTTTAATCTCTCACTGCCTAATCACATCTAAACACACATCTTTACAAGGTTTAAGTCCTCTGATGTGGTGGAATCATCCAGGATAAAAATTACCAAAGTATTTAGAGCTGATCTGAATCCCTCCGTCTCATTTTTAACCCCGATCCATATATCTAATGAGCTGCCGTTTGGGATGTCTGCCATGCATCTGCAGCAGCAGCAGACTCACCTTTAGGAAGGGGGACTCCTCCAGCATGCTGAGGAACTCTGGGAAATAATCCCCGACCTCTTCGTCCACGGCTCCTACCAGGCTAATCTGTCTCATCGCTCCAGCTCTATATGTGCCATTGCTGTAAGTTCTCTTCACCTGCAGAAAAGTGAGAAAGAGAAAACACTTTTTAAATCTTCCCTAAAAAAGTCCAAAGAAAGATAAAGCTAATTATTACAGTCCATTTTAGGGTTGGATAGAGCCCCCCCCCCTTTTTTATGCATAAAAAAAATCTGATCTCCTACATCTAACACAATATTTTTAGAGCCAAAAGGAGGAAATCAAAGAGCCCAAACCATGAATGATGTTTCCTGGTTATTCCTGTGAGGTTCAACAAAGAAATAAAAAATCATAAAAAAAAAAAACAGGAGGCACTAAATTCTGAACAGGGGAGAAACAAATCCTCATAGAAGCTGGAAATCATTACTTGGTGTCAAAATAGACTGTATGCGTGAGTGTCGGCGGATTTACTTTTCCGTTTCTGCTCTGCTTATGTGACTCAGACGGTTCGCTGCTTTTCACTTGGCTGACGGTGCAGCTACCCGTCTCTCACAGCCCTGGCCCTCAACAGTCCCTCTGTGTGTGCATGCCTGTGCAGTACGTGCAGCATGTGGTCTGCACGCTGTACTCTTGGCTGATTTGGGATGCGAATGTGTGTGTGTGTGTGTGTGTGTCCCAGCAAGCCAAATCCTTGGCTGCGCGCCTCTAGTGAGTCACCACTTGACAACAAGGCAGAGCTGAAGGTGGAGAGACGGCGCATAGGGAGAGGAGTCAGGATACCAACGAAAGGAAGAAAACAGGTGGAAGGAAGAGAGGAGGGGAGTGATGAGAGCTAGAACTAGGCTTGTAAAAATAATCAAACCCCTATTGCCGCTTTACGACAATAGGGAATTTGATTTTTCCTTTTTCTTTAATAAAAAAGGAGAAAAGGGTTCATAGTAAGTCTGATGGAGCTTAAAGCTCCACTGTTCAAGCAGGAGAATATGTCTTTCTGATGACTAGTTAGTTATACACAAGTTGGACAAATAAGACCCAAGCTGTGTGATGGAAAACTACCAATACAAAATACCTGGAGCACACCTTCTCAATAGCAAAACATAACGGCCATTTTTCTCTTTAAAACAGCAAGGAATAGGGAAGCTGGTCCCATCTGACAGGAGGATATTTGAAGCTGAATATGTGGCACTAATACAGGAAAATCTAATGGAGTCTGCTAAAGACTCAAGACCAACGTAGGAGGTTAAAATTCATCCCAACGTCCCAAAACATATAATCAGAGCTTGAGTAGTACTTAACATCATAATAAACACTTCAAGGCAGGAAAAGATTGTTCTAGAACAGAACTAAGTTTGGCTGATAAAAAACACACATTTCAGTTATTGGTTCCTAATCTGTTTAAAACTTTGAAAACCATCTTTCATATTCACAATTATGCCCTACTTAATGTTTGAAACATGAAAAGGTTAAAATGAAAGACTACAATCAGTAAAAAGGCATAAACGCACAGAAACGATTAGCATTAGAACAAACACATAGAAGTAAAAGGGAGAAATATCAGATACAATTATAAAGTAGGCAGAGGGACAACCATGATAGGCTTGGAAAAACAAAACAAGGAGGCTTTAAAGAGGAAGATGGAGGGCAGATGGAAGTGAGAAGCGAGTACTTGGGGTATAAAGCGCAAACTGGACACAGACTAAAGGAGAAAGGGCGAGACAGCTGCCAGGAGCATCTCTGGGCAAAGTGCCGACTCCTTACTAAAGCCATTTAAAAGCCGATCTAAAAGAGCATAGAGTAGATATAGCATCCCTGCTGCAGGTGTTTTATGTATTACCATTTACAAACTGACCCAGCTGCATGTTTAATATCAAACCATTGGACTCTTTCTGGTTAACGGCGAAAAGGCAACATCACTTTACAATGTGCTTTTCCCACTTCATTAAATCCTGTCTGTCTCCCGACACTGAAGCGGACGCAACGTATGCTAAAGGCCTGGATGATTCCCTTCACACACGCACAGCTCAAGTACTAGTGAGTCAACGACCTTAATATGTGTGCGCACACATGGATTCATCATCCCTTTCACGAGTGACTCCCTTAGTGTTGTCGCCACAGAGCTTGTGTGCATTTGTGAGTGAATGCATTTATCTGCGTGTCTGATTTTAATTAGCCCTGCTTATGAGCACATCTCTTTATCTGTGTGTGTGTTTACACATGCATAATTTAACAGATGAATAACCCTCCGTGTCAACTGTAAACAGCAGCATTAGGAAACCCTATCCAGGCCTCCGCTAAACAGACGTTTTCCAGCCTGTGGTTGGCTCATGCTCGGGTCTATATTCGGTGAAGGAAAGGGGAAATGTGGCAGACTTCCTCTGAGGAGATATTTACAAGATGCTCCAGGTCGTTGCTTCTGTATACTTGCATGTAAACACACTCTCTCTACTTTGTGTTCAACTCAGGTCATTTTCTCTATTGTGTCGCTAGCTTTTTTTCCTTCATAAACCGCTAATCCATGCTGGGAAGTTAAACAGCACTACTTGTTAATTCTGTACCGACTCCCCTTATCTGTAATCAACTCATCCCAGCTGAGTTTACACTAAGCCACGGTCTCACTGGTCCACCTGACCCTTCCTTAACCTCTCTCTCTGTCTGCATCTCACTCTTCCTCAGTTCTTAGCCTCTCTCTCTGTCTCAAACATTTTGCTCAGTCAATCTCTTGACTGTTAAGTCTATTAGTTCGTTACTGCGTCTGCGTCACAACAAAGCTTATGGCTGCTGACCGGGGGTCTCAGACACAACTACACACTCCTTAGCATCATAATCTCTCCTCTGAACACCTTCAAAGCCAGATACAGATCTGTGGAAACTCTTAAATAGAGATAAAACTGGTGCAACACCAACTCTAACCGAATAACTTGCTTTTCAGATATATATATATATATATAAAAAAAACAGTTTTGTTAATAAGACAGATTAATTTAAATACTACTAATTATGTTCATTTATTTCTATTCCATCATTTTCTGTCACAATATTCTAAACATTAAAATAGCAGAGGAAGTAGAGAGGCTTGAGTTTTATACTATAGTTCAGTGATGTCTTTCCAGTCACATATTGCTGCAAGCTGCCCGTCAGCTGGCCTAAAACAGTTTTAAGCTAACTTTAATGTGCTATAAGGAGCAGAACGACTAGTTTTCATATGAAAATCATGGCTTTGACTGAACTATCTTTCAGTTATTTGAAGGTTTTGTAGCTGCCAAGCTTTTAAATGCTGCACTGTGCCACTGCTTGCTCAACACCTGATGTTGTGACAACATTCCAACAGTCTGTGACTGAACAAGAGACCAAATTACTTCTTAGTACAAGCACATCATGCATCGACCGCCGAGCTCTGCCTACCCTGAGAAAATGGAGAGCTGTAATCTTCCATAATCCTTTAGTGGCAGTGAAAATGGCTTCAGTCGGGTACGAAATTCAAAAACTAAGACTCACTCACTCTGGCCCCTGCCTGCCTTCACATTATGAACGTCGTAAATAAACGGAGCTCTTCAAGTCGAAGTGAAAGATCCACGCAAGCTGCTTTCGTTTCTTTTCTCTCCCTCTTCTCCTTTAATTCTTTCCTTGCTGCCCTCGCCCCATATAATAGGCAGCGGAGCATTCATTCATGGCTGGAACACAGAGCTGCTACACAACTGAGCAGAACCATGGAGTACAGGGATAAAAAAGACACTGAAAGAATAACAGAGTAAGGGACATAATAAAAAAGGAGAGAAAGGGAGAGAAAATGTGCCTGATACACCATTAATCCCTGTGTGTGGGTGTGTGTGTAAGTCATCAGTATGCAGGCTCACACCTGGGTGTACGTGTAGACTGTATATCTACAGCCCAAGGTCACTGCTGAGAGGTACAAGGGAGGAAAAAATTAACAAGGCCAGTGGACAATGACGTTAGCCCTGTGGGGAACATTATAAGAGGGGACTACACAAGACAAGAGGTTTAGGTAGATTAGATGAATGGAGGCAATTGGCAATTAAGGTAATCTGGGATTTTCCTTTAAAATGTGGAGATTACATATGTTTCTGCAGTCCCCTAAAGAAAGCAGGAATAAAAACAAAAAATCTTTTAGAATTTCTTGTTTAGATAAGCCAACCCAAAGGGAGTGTTTTACGCCCCTATAGCATTGACACGCTTCCACTGAGAAAGAGCAGGCAGGTTCTCACCACAAAAACCCTCAGGAGGTCTGAGGCAACAAAAGGCTTTTCATTAGTAAACTCTGGACCTTAGACAAGTCTAAATGAAGAGGTGTATCTGTGTCACTGGGCTCTGGAGACCATCAGCCACCACACGCACCTTTCTGGTTTTTCCCGATTTACTCAAACGGTTAAGAGGTCTGAAACTACAGCTGCCATTTTTTAAAGAGCAAAAGATGAAAAGCACCTTTTTTTAATGTGGTTTTGACTCCCAGGCTGACAGACCGTGAACCGCTGCTACCTGCATTAATGCTTTCATCTCTCACAGCCTGCTAATGCCACCTTTCATTTTCTGCCATCACTGCAAATTTCCTTTCTATATTCTTGTCTCAGCTGCTGCTGCTGTTATAATGACCATTTGTTACTTATGCATTTCATTTCTTTAGATAAACAGAGGTATAGCAGGTAAAAACAATTATAAAAAGAGACCAATGTTTTGTTTTTTCCCCCCGTTCACTGACATTAAATCGGATCAGGTTATAGTAAAGATAACCAAAATAATTTCTATTTTCTGAATGTCTAAAGAAATGGAACATTGCTTATCACTTTTAATAAATTCAGAAGTTTGCATATAGATCACCACGTTCTTCCTTATGTGGAAGAGAACTGAGACACCGTTTGTCCTTTTGGGAAAATTCTAAGATCTCTGATGGGGCCAGTATTATATTTATAAGCAAATATGTATGTGGTAACATTTCCGAAATGTTGAGCAGGGATACTGTTCAAAAAGTGAGTGGATTTTGGCGAGAGGGTATGAACGCCATCGGTTTCAGAGATATATATTTATTTATTTTTTTATTTGAAATGTTAGAACTGCAAATATACAGTCATGTTTCTATTCTTGTTTTTATGTATTTTTTAGTGTTTTTCAGGATACACTTTAAAAAAATGAAATTGTCTGGAGAGCTGGTAACAAAAATTTCTTTTTGTTTTCATTTGTTTACATTGTACACAAAATGACAAAATAAATCTTTCTAAGTCTATATATATATATATATATATATATATATATATATATATATATATACACTATATTGCCAAAAGTATTTGCTCACCCATCCAAATTATTGGAATCAGGTGTTCCAATCACTTCCATGGCCACAGGTGTATAAATTCAAGCACCTAGGCATGCAGACTGTTTTTACAAACATTTGTGAAAGAATGGGTCGCTCTCAGGAGCTCAGTGAATTCCAGCGTGGAACTGTGATAGGATGCCACCTGTGCAACAAATCCAGTCGTGAAATTTCCTCGCTCCTAAATATTCCACAGTCAACTGTCAGCTGTATTATAAGAAAATGGAAGTGTTTGGGAACGACAGCAACTCAGCCACGAAGTGGTAGGCCACGTAAACTGACGGAGCGGGGTCAGCGGATGCTGACGCGCATAGTGCGAAGAGGTCGCCAACTTTCTGCAGAGTCAATCACTACAGACCTCCAAACTTCATGTGGCCTTCAGATTAGCTCAAGAACAGTCCGCAGAGAGCTTCATGGAATGGGTTTCCATGGTCGAGCAGCTGCATCCAAGCCATACATCACCAAGTGCAATGCAAAGCGTCGGATGCGGTGGTGTAAAGCACGCCGCCACTGGACTCTAGAGCAGTGGAGACGCGTTCTCTGGAGTGACGAATCGCGCTTCTCCATCTGGCAATCTGATGGACGGGTCTGGGTTTGGCGGTTGCCAGGAGAACGGTACTTGTCTGACTGCATTGTGCCAAGTGTAAAGTTTGTTGGAGGGGGGATTATGGTGTGGGGTTGTTTTTCAGGAGCTGGGCTTGGCCCCTTAGTTCCAGTGAAAGGAACTCTGAATGCTTCAGCATCCCAAGACATTTTGGACAATTCCATGCTCCCAACTTTGTGGGAACAGTTTGGAGCTGGCCCCTTCCTCTTCCAACATGACTGTGCACCAGTGCACAAAGCAAGGTCCATAAAGACATGGATGACAGAGTCTGGTGTGGATGAACTTGACTGGCCTGCACAGAGTCCTGACCTCAACCCGATAGAACACCTTTGGGATGAATTAGAGCGGAGACTGAGAGCCAGGCCTTCTCGTCCAACATCAGTGTGCAACCTCACAAATGCGCTTCTGGAAGAATGGTCAAAAATTCCCATAAACACACTCCTAAACCTTGTGGACAGCCTTCCCAGAAGAGTTGAAGCTGTTCTAGCTGCAAAGGGTGGACCGACGTCATATTGAACCCTATGGATTAGGAACGGGATGTCACTTAAGCTCATATGTGAGTCAAGGCAGGTGAGCAAATACTTTTGGCAATATAGTGTATATATATATATATATATATATATATATATATATATATATATATATATATATATATATATATATATATATATGACTTAGAAAGATTTATTCTGCAGCCACTTTTGTTTAAATTAGCATTTTCTCTCCGTCTCAAGCTTCTTTTCCGAACATTCGGCTTTACTTTCAACCGGAAGCCCTTCCGCGCAAACATATCGCGATTTCATATATACCTGACAATTGTTTTTATAATTTTTTTTTTAAGAAAGCATTTAAATGTAACGATAATTAATTAAGGCCTTAATTTAAAAAAATTATAATTTCATGACATTTAATGACTGGCGGAAGCCCTTTTGGAGGCATGTCCAAAGTTTAGATAAACTAAAATGTAGGCGTTTGGCTACATCGCCTGCATTTCATTCAAGCCTCAGAAGAGCATCACAACTGTGAAGTATGTGGGTGGCAGCATCATGATCATCTATATGCATCCACATTTCCCGCTGATTTTAAACTCTGATCCAAGTCTCATAACATAAATCAATTATTCCCTGAATGATTAAAAATCCAGCAAATAGGGGTATAAAATTCAAACTGTTTGACTCAATTTATATAGTTTAAAATGCCCGAATACAAAATACTAAGGAAATGCATGTAATAGGGAAAAAGGGTGCGGGTTTAAAATTGGGCTCAATAACCCTTATTTATTATTCATTTAAGAGAAATTAACCTGGTTAACCTAACTGACCTCAATCTGTAAAGATTGAGTCTGATCAAATTAGCTGTTCTGCCTTCAAATTCTATTTCTTTTAAACCTGAATAACACTGACATTCAAAACATTATCCAGATGTGCCTACATGTAGTATAAACCTTTTCACAATGCTGCCATCTGATCTAAAATCAAAGATCAAATTTTCAACATTAGTGCCAAACATTGTAATAATGAAGAACAGATCGAGGGAGATGCTTCCACCGAAAGAAAAAAACCCACACAGCTCTATCCAGCACACAGCAGGTAAACAACACGACTTCCACTATTGTTTATATAATCTCACTACACCTCACTTTTTTTTCTGCATTTATATTTAAACTTATCCCTATATCATATTCTGATAGAGGCTAAAATACAAGACAATAAATTAGTACAATGTAGAGGTGAAACAAAAGATTTAATATAATCCAAACAAAATGCATGTATATAGAATAACCATAAAGCCAGAGAGACACCAAAAACTTAAGGAGAGCTTTAAAAGGGAACTATTTGCACAAGACTTCATCATCTCTGAGAGATTAAGACTCAAGAAGACAATAGGAAGGCTGGAAAAAAGAAAGAAAGAACATTTTGGAGATAAAAGCACATTACTTTGCAGCATCTTCATTGTAATTTCATTCATCTGTAGAATACTGATCCCAGCTCAATCTAATCATTAGGTTTAATTCTCACACTTGAAAGAAAACCACAGACCAAGACATTCTGCTCATAAATATCACTATGAAACCCCTTCAAAGGAAACACACAGCAACGTTATAACCCCACTGGCCATTTTAATTTACAACAGCTTCCCTGCCTTACACCAGCGCGTTTAACTTGACTCATGTCAAACAGGCATGAGCACCTTCTGCGGGTGCGAATGAGTCTCTGCCTCCTTCTACAACTGAAAATTACAAGCTAAACTTTGCAGGCCTCCACCTCTTCCTGTGGCTGCAAGCCTGCATGTGTGAGAAAGTTTGACGACTCAAAATGCAAAACATCCCCTGAACCTTTTAACATTTTGTCAGGCTTAAACCGTAATGTAATGAACTTTAATGGGAGTTCATGCAGTAGGCTACTAAAAACTAATGCATCATTGTGAAATGAAATTAGTTTTAGATGTGAAAAGCTGGTAGAGACACACCTCAACCCCTTGCAGCTATGATTATAAAAATAGTGTGCTTCTTTAGCTGCTTTTTCTGCAAAACAATAATAATAATAATAATTTTTGTTTCATTCCACATTAAATTAATAAAAGTTTGTGTGCAATAAAATGTGAAAATGTTACAGGATCGATGATTTTTCGTGACCTCTTTCTCTGTGAATGGGTTCAACTTACCTGAGAGTAGAAATTAGCCATAGTGGTTGTTTCTATGTCCTTTTTTCCTAGTATTTCCATTTTGACTGGAGCTGATGGGAACTTGGTTGAAAAGTAATCCAAGAAGTCAGGGAGGTTCTTGGCTTCTCCGTGAACTATTCCCATGACATAATGAGCGGCCTGTAACAGAAAAAAAGAATCTGCGATGCGATTTGGAGAAGACAGATTAGGGTCCGAATGCTCTAGAATAAGACGGGCCACATTAAAGCACCCTAAAATACCCAAGCCTTTAACAGACTCATCAAGCTAAACAGAATCGGATGTGACAAAACTATAATAATTCCTTTAAGGTTTTAGTGAATGCACTTTACCTTGGATGAGTCCTCACTGAACGACAAAGTGACAAACTCTTGGGCAAATCTTTGTCTCTGGTCCAGAGAGAGAGATGAGAGCTGAGAAGCATACGCATGGGCTACCAGAGCTCCTCCATTAGGCTGGTTTTCAATATATATATAGGGGGCGAACTCCAGGCCCGCCTTTCCAGGATGGATGCTCTTTGAGGCGTGTTTTGTAGAAAATGGGGGCTTTAGAGGAGATGAGCAAAAGGATGATTTAGAAGGAGGCGAAGAAGGCCAGAATTTGGAGTTTTCGTCATCAGGTGAAAGATAAACGGGCAGAGGAGACTTGAAAGGTGATGAAGCAGAGTTATTAGTTTGCTCCGCGGATGAGAGAGAGTTGGCTGCTGTAGAAGAAGGTGGTAGGAGAAGAAGACCAGCGCAGACGGTTTGGCAGGAGCGGTGGTACATCTTTACTCGCTTGTGCTTCTCCCCTTCTTTGTGTTTCTTCTTCTTTTTCTTCTTCACTTTTTTGATTTGCAGTTCCTCCGAGTTGATATTTACTTTCTCTCTTTCTTCTGGATGGATGACAGAAAAACAAGGAGATCATTTTTTTTCTTCCCTTTTTTTAAAATATCAACAGTGAAGGGAAAAGTTATCTGAAAAGGCTTGTGGGCTACATGTCAAATTAGAGTTTTTTTCTGATCTTTAGACTAAACAGAAAGATTTTAAAAATCTACCTCGAGTCTTTAATTATCCAAACATCTTTTAACTTCTTTAAACACGCATTCCAAGAGGAAAACTGAAAATAATGAGCACCAACTATTTTTAAACATGAGCAGACAGATGAGTCATTGCTCTTCCCAGCCGCGTGCATCTCTTTGTGGTGTGCACAAAAAAATAAATTGAAACAGAATCCCTTGAGAACAGACGCTCTGACTAAGTCAGGCAGAAGTTTTGTCAATATCTAAAGAGAGATAAAACTGTGTGCTGTTGGTTTATCTCCTAAAAACCCCAGAAGCAAGACAAACTAGAGCATGGAAATTTAGGCTGGGTGCTAATTGTGACTGATTGCGAGAGGAAAACAATTACCAGCTTGATTCTAATTCTTCTTTACTGGTGATATTTTCTGCATGAATAAATGTGAGCGACACTACCAGAGCATTTAAGCGTCACATGTTTACTGTTAAATGAGGGAGGAAGGGCAGACTGCTGAGCAGCAGAGGGACAGACGGTATTAAAGAGAGCAGTAGAGAGATGGGGTATTTAGAGTACAATACTAGAGCTACTAATCCAAAAGCTCTCCAACATACAGATCACCCCTCCCCCAGTTCGAGCTAAATATGGACAAAATTAGAAACCAAACACCCTATACCACCATCTCAACCTTGATCATGTCGGTATGATCTTAATAAAGAGAAATAAAAAAGGAGCTGAAGAAACACCTCCTAGAAAATGTCCCTAAAGCAGGTTAAAGGTATAAAACTGCAGCCAAAGCTCTGCTGGTTTACAGAAATAAACTTAGAGAATATGTTGAAGACAACGGCTGTCAGTCACTTTTTTTTTTATAGAACCATGTCAATCCAGTTTAATTTAGCTCGCTGAGATTTCACTAATTTGTAACTAATTTTTAACCATAAACATTTTAGATAATATAGAATCTTATTTAACCTAATTCAATAATGTAGTCAGATTCAGACACGATTATGCTAAATCTATTATTAATGTTATAATACTAATCATTTAAAGCAAATTGGTAAAAAGTCAACCTGAATGCACCCAGACTTTTAGCAATCCACAGAAAATGTGACAACAGTGGAGAGAAACCACTTCCTTACTCCTAAAATAGAAAGCCAGGCTGTCCCAATCAGTGCATGGGAAACTCTATGGGCTAATTGATCGGTGGAAAATTAGGCTTACATCTTCCTAAAACAGCCAAGTTATAATGGTCTATTTTAGGGTTATTTCCGTTATCCCAACCAGCTGATAAATGGACAGAATATTAAGTTATTTACTGATAAACCTTTTACTTCTACATATTTAGCCTTTTAGTTTTTGATTTATGACTTGTCCATTCTGATACAAAGTAAATGAATTACCTATTATTTCCTTTTTTGAAATAACTGCAGTTATTTGATTTGCTACAAAACATAAATTCAAATTAAGGAAGCTGAGAAAAATTGTCTGATGATCAGAATCACATAATATTTCAGCTTGATTGGTCTGTGAAGGCAGCATGTCTGAGGGCTAACAGATATTTTATGGAGTGAGATTAAATCCATTGCACAGCTGCAGTAAAAAATGTCTTCAACAAAAAGTCCTTCAACAATTATAATCATGTCACCTCAGCTCTAGTAGAAATAATTAATAACAATCTAAGCTAAGCTTGGTGCATTTCTTTTATTCACCAGCTTTTACTGAAATCAAAATAAAGCTCATCAAAGAAGTGTTTCTGATGCATTCACAAAGCAAAAATAAATAAAAAAAATGGATGTTTGTGCTTTGGTGCATTTAATGAACAAAAAATAAAATCTAATTTTCCATGGCTGATAAGCTTATCAAAGGAGAGGAAAGATGAAGGGAATATTTATCAGATTTTAATCAGCAGAAAGCCAATTTGTCCAACACTATTATTTAATTCTGGTTGCAACAATAACCAGGAAAGAAAATACAGAAAATTAAAAGAAAATATATATATATATATATTTTTATATATATAAAAAAACCTCAACGTCATTATTTCATTAGTGTTTTGAGCTTTGTAATAAAACAGGTGAAGCTGCTCCTTACAGGGAGTCTCCATTTGTTTATTCTTTGCCGCCTGCTTTAAAATAAAAATAATGAATAAATAAAAAATATTTGTGCCACTTGGCTGAACAATCTGATCTGTTTAAGGTCAGATAAGTATACAGTTAGATTTACACACAGGCCCTCAAACAACCTCAGGGGCGGTAAAAAAGATTTACTGTCAGATTGGTCGTTTGGTACTTATTGATTCTCCATCCTTTCCTCCACTGCCTGCCTCTCTCACTCTCTCTCTCCTTCTCAATTGTAAACTTAACACTCTTTCACTGATTAGATTTCTTACTTGCTACTCACAGTCTCTCTGTCACTCGGAGCATTTGCAGGTTTAATACTCTGATTTAACACTGCAGTAGGCGCTGCTAAAACCACCATTCAGCTAGTAAACTTTCGTCTGGCTTTGTTTTTTTGTTTTTTTCCTCGCCCTGTGTGGACTCCAAATCAAACGCACGATTGCAGCGTTTCCATTATGCAAAACATAGATGATTAAAAACCAGACTTCCTCGCAGGCTGACTGTAGGATTAGAGCTCAGTCTTGCTCTCGGTCTATCGTTAGACCTCCTAACTCCTCTGTGTAATGAGAAGATGAATCAACATTACGAGGGTGCACATCCCCTCTACGGAGACCAGGAAGGGAGACGTATTACAGATAATCTCTATGTAATTTCCATCTGCAGCCACTGGTCATGGTGTGTGGTTAAAGTGCCGCTAAGTCCTTGAAATGTCACAGTGCAGCCATGACATTATAGTATGAAAGGATCTGTCAGTCTGTGGGTTTGGAACAAATCAAATCAATGGGAATAAAGCCGGTCTCCATTTAGATCTACATGGCTGTGTGATGCATGTGAAACTCTGTAGGCTTTACCCTTAAAGTGGTGGATAACTAATTAATTTCATTAAAAAAGATGAATAATGACATTTGAAATACACAATAGCCTGATCAGGAAAACAGAGGATTAAAAATATTTATCTAAATCACCAAATTCGTCATGATTGTAACAGACATGCACCAACACACTCAACAAGGAGGTTAAGGTGAAAAAGTCGGCTTCTAAGGAGCATCATTTTCAGAATGCTGTATGGAAACATATGAAATGAAAGTTAACTGGAAGGAAGACATTCTCAAGCAAACAGAAAAAACTGAAGTTTCCTTATTGGTCTAAAATGTCTTTGGGTAGTTTAAGGTAATAATCTACAAAATACAAATAAATAAATGCTCCTATAGAGAATTCTGAGTTAAATAATTCTTTATAACATGTTTCTAAACTGAACTACTCAAAGTAGCATCATATTTTATATATATATTGAGACGCATAAATTGGGACACTTTGTTTTATGTTAGGGTAGCAGAATAAAAGACTTTTTTAAAAATTCTTGTCCAAAGCTTTGTGCCATGTGTCCACCACATATATGTTTATTACATTTTGAGATTCAAATTAGTTAAATTCAAGTTCAGATGATATTCATGCTTTTTGCAAAACACTGTTAACACAAAAGAATAAGAGCATAAAAAAAATATATGAAACATAAACAAAAAAATTACTAGAAAGCCATTCATGGAGACAGCTTATCCTGCAAAGGTGAGCTTATGCACTGGGTCACAGCTGTCACTATGATGTTTAAAATCAGAGTTCAAAAGCGCACAGTAAGACAGGGGGTCAGACTAAATAAATCATGAGCTCGCATTCATCACGTGACGGGAGGCGCACCGCAAAGGTCAGCCTAATGTCAGGGATGCTAATATCGTGCTGCCAGCCAGTTACTGGGAAACATCAGGTGTTTTATGGAGCAGTAGGAGTTTTTCATGCTTTGAAAGTTCATCTCGCACTAATAATTAACCACATAGCAGCCCTTGGAAGGGCACTAAAACATTTTGATATTGAACATATATCAACTATCCATCCATCCAATCAGTCTGATAAGTAGCACAATATTAAAAACTTGTTTGTCAACATGTAATAAATTGGTTTAAAGACATTTGCAGCTGAACATCCTGCAACAGAACTACAGCTTAAAAAGAGATCTGCTTCATTCTGTCACATCATTTGGGATGCATGAGTGCTTCCACCAACCTTTAATCGGCTGCTTGACTTCGCCATTCTCCCTCTTGATCTCATTCATCACTTTGTGTTTTTTCTTCTCTTTCTCTCGTTCTTTGACCTTCTTCCTTTCGCGCTCCTTCTTCTTGTCTTTACAAGGGTTCTCTGGAGAAAAACAAACAAAAAGTATGTGGTATAAAGTAGGGCTGAAACAAGGCAGAAATAATTGTCAACTAATTTAGTAACGGTTAATCGTTAAATCAAGTTTAGAGACTGTAAAACATGCCTTTAGCTTACAGAGCAACCCACTTAGAGCAGTAATTGTATTCAAATTGTAAAGAAAATATATAAACATTGTGCATTCAAAAAAAAAAAAACATGTCTGTCAATATGTTCTATCCAGAACTCCTCACTTGGTTTAATTTCATAAAAAATATCTTCTTTAAGGAACCTTTGGCTCTCAGATTATTAATCGATTAATTGAAAAAAAAAAAAAAAATCAACAGATTAATCGATTTTTAAAATAATCGTTGCAGCCCAAGTTTAAAAGTTTCATACCTCAGTTTAATCCCCAACCACAGTAACGGGTTTATGCACATTTAATCCAGGATCATTTGTTTCTCTAATTCATTGAGACTCTTGGTGCATAAAACACAACGGCGGAGGGAAAAAAAAAAAAGCAATTTTCCTTTTCACGCTGCAGTCTAATCTAAAGCTACATCTCATCAGGACACACACAACTGTTTTCTCCAACTCTGTCTTTCTTCTCCTATTCTCTGCTAAGCAATCATCAATAAGCTCTCTTTCTATCAGAGCTCATACAATCCAACTCCTGCAATATCCCTCCTTTGGCACTTTCTTTCTGATAAAATCATTTCAATGTTGAAAGAGTAAAACATTTGTTAGAAAAACAGTCTGGTTTCAAGACTCACTCAAATTAAACCCTTGTGACTGAGAAAAACCTGTTAGATAAATGTAAATATCGCACCCTCTTTTGTTGCTGGAGAGTCTTTTGGAGAGACGCAGCATGGACGCTGGCAAACACCCAAAGTTCCCAGCTGAGCGAAAAGTCTTCACCTCCCTCTACAGAACTTCTCAGTTTGATTCAACCTTTTATCATTTGCCTTCTTTGATCATTTTCTCCCTTTCACTTCCCATAAATAATTCATTAAAAAAAAAAAAATAACTTTCTCCTTTTAACCCTGTCAGCAGAACCAGCTGGTTTAAAGGAAGCTGTGTTTCCTTATGCTTCTCTCCACTGAATATTCAGGGTGTGGATAGAAGAACAGTCTTGTTCCACTCACAGTTTTCAGGATGAAAGAAGAAGAAAGAAGTAAGCTGGTGACGGGAATCCAGCTGTTTTCAACTTGACCAGCTAACAAGGGGAAAAATTCATTCTTTAGTCCTTTCACAAAAATATTCAAAGTAGCATAAAAGTACATTCTGCAGGTTTCATATCATCAGTTTGGTTAAAAACTCTTCAAGGCCTCAACTTTACTGCTGATTTGTAAACATTAACTGTGCTAATAGTGTTAAGATTCATAAACGGTCTATCTATAACATCCAGGAAGCAGAAGCCCAGGCGGCTGGCCTTACCTCAACGACACTTAAAAAAAAAAAAAAACTACATTAGAGCTGAATAAAGGGGCTACCCCAGAGAAGTAAACAGAAACTTTCTCACAGGCTTAATTAGACCAAATGTATATGGAGGCATATCTGTGATCAGAAATAAATGTTCAGCTTTTTCTGTCTTCTGAATAGGTTGCAGCTATCGGTTTTGAAGGGGAACACAGCAGGTGGTTTTCACTATTCAGATGATCACAGGAAAGACACCAAAGGCAGGCGGTTTGCAGTCTTTATCTACACCACCCGTTGCTTGCATTCAACTTCTTATATTCAGGAGGGGAAATCAGAAAATAGATATATGTATACATCTGTGGGTTTCTGCTTGATGTTGTCTGTTGAAAAGCCCAATTTAGAATGAAAAACAGCTTCCTTCTCCCTACTATCTGGGCTCTAATTTGCTATGGTTTACTTAGGAGACATCTTTGGGCGAGCATGCAACATATTGACCCTGGTAAGCTTTAAAGTACGCTTGTTGTTTCCTGTCAATACCACACTTGGACTTGCATCAATTCAATATTGCTAGGTATAAACTTTGATGTTTTAAACCAATTATACTTTCTTTCAGTGTTCTCTCTCCTCTATCAATATTAAAATCCATGCTTGTTTTGTTTGCACAGGACTGCAGAGGAATAAAAGAACATAAATTCTCTGCTTAGTGCAAAGGTTGGTTGCTGTTTGGATATATTATACATAAAACAACCAAAAACACAGGGGTCTAAGGAACAATGGGAACCACAATCCTTCACGCCTGTTAAATTCATGAGGTTATAAAATAAAAAGCATTTTTTTATCCAGGAGACATGTAGCATGGATCTTTCAACAGCACCCAAGCACGCACATGTTCCCTGAATGAAATTGAAGTTAATCATAACAGAAAGGCGTGTGAAGGCAGAGATTTTTTACTCTGGAAAAACTACAAGAAACTAGATATCCTTTATTTCCAATGAAAGCAAGCTGTTGCTGCATAATTATAAGTTCTTAAGGGAAACCCTGTTCCCCTGAATAAATCTGTTCATGCTGCTTTAGCTGCTCCAAGCTTCTTCAAAACAATAATGTAAAACAGCAATCAAAACAAACAAAAACAAACCCAGGCATGTCTGGAGGCCATATGTCTAGAGTAGCAGCAGTCTGGTTTATGGTATCAATTTATTAGAGCTAGTCAAAAAAAATTTGGGAAAAAAAGAGAGAAGAACTTATAGCACCTTATGCCTAACAGTAATTATTAAACATATAAAAGCCCTTTCACCACCTCTGGTATGAAGACAGACCAGCATTAGAGAGAGTAGTGAAAATGTGTGATGCTTGCAGCATCCAACAATCAGCTAAAATAGGTAGCTAAGGATTTCAAAGGGACAAAGTTCTTTAAACAGACAATTACTGCGGCTTATCAAGTTTATATTTTTTAAAGCAGCTTAACTTTTTCCTCAAAACAATCTTTCTCAAATAAAGAATTTAAATCTCTTTAATTTTTACAGTTGCTAATAACAAGCATGCCGTATATCCTTTATTCTTAGATCTATTTTACATTGAATTTGTGGTTCTTTATATCTTGTTGTAAGGTTCTTCTGGAAAAATTTATTAAATCTTGTTCTCATTTCCAGACCAAATTTAACCAGCCTTCTCTCGGCTTTGCGCTTCCCCTTAGGATCTCTTTCCAACAGCAGCACCCCAACACTAATAATATTACTTGATGATCTGATACTGTTTGGATCCTCGTCGAAAAATGCTTGCCCTTTGAGACAGAGTATGGTGCCACTCTGTGCAAAGCATTCGAAACCGGTTGGTCTCAAGGCTTAAACTTTCTAAAATTCATCAAATGTTCTACAGCAGTAAAAACAGTATAAGTAGCAAGAAACGAGGATTTTACTATTTGAACAACAGTTTAAATATAACTACAGATATCAATTAATATCTTTAATTTAAATTATTCGCCTTCTTTTTTGTTGTCGTTTAAAAAAAGAATGATCTTGATGAAGACCAGTTTTTTCTTAATTTTATCCAGTCTGTTGACAGTACTGTATCTAAGCTTCCAGGGAGACATGGCCAATAACACGTCCTATCCTGACTAGGGGTGGGTATTGGCAAAGAAGTCATGATTCGATTCACGATTCACATGCCACGATGCGATTCTATCACGATGCATCATGATACTTGAAATATTGCGATATTTTCACTGAACACTGCAAGAAAAAGATGCAGCCCTTACCAGTGGCTGACTGGCTGGATATGATCTGGATGTGTCTTCAATTGATATATAACTGATAGCAACTGAATTCATACATAGCTGTATTTATTGAAATGACTTTTGGAGGTGTTGCCATGGAAACAAATACTGTACAGAAATATTACTATTACTGGCGTGGACACACTGACAAAAAGATCTTAGGATTCATCAAACTTAAAATAACAAAATAAGGATAATCAGTGCCGTTAACATGGCCTCAGTGGTACTTTTGTAAATTACGTGCATCATATCAATTTCATTTTTACCTTCTTTGTTTTTAAAGCCAAAATGCATCCAAGCATCTGACTTGAAATGTGATGGAGCCGCGGGGCGAATTTTCTCAGTGTCCTCCATGTTTTATTTCATATGACTCGTCTCAGTATCCCGTGGCCGGAAATGCTTGTGACACAAACCAGCAGGCGTCAACACATCCGCAGCGACATCTGCTGGACTGGAAGTTGTATTCCACTTGATTTGGCTAATGTGCGCCAACCATTCATGTACTTTATTTGTTCATTTTTTTTTATTTTTATAATCGATTTTTGCCTTCAAGAATCGATGCAGTAGATCACAAAAATTAGAATTGCGATGCATCGATATGACGATTATTTTGCACACCCTTAATCCTGACAGCAGTGGCTGTTCGCAGGGTGTCATGACCTCTTAAACTGACCAATTGCAAAAGGGTGACATCATGCCCTCACACTTAAAAAAAAAAGATAAAGAAAAAAACGGTTTTCCAAGGAGACCGACAAGTAGAGAAAACAAAAACAGAGCCTTCCAAAAGTATTTGTACCTTCTGAATGTTCTCACATTAAAACCACACGATGGTGTACGTAATCTGGGTATTATGTGACGGAGCAACTCAACATTTTTGCGAAGTGAAAGGAAGTTTATCCATTACTTTCAAAATCACATTAAAACCCTTCTGATTACATGTTATTAGATGTAATCAGACCACTAACAAATTGTCTACCAGGTTCAAATGCATAAAGTCCAACAAGCTCAAATGAAAAAACAAAAAAAAACAAGAGCATGATGCTGCCACCACCATGTTTTGTTGTGAGGTAGATTTTTCAGGGTTAAGTCAAGTGTTACTAGTTACAGTTTGTTGACTAATGCTGGCTAATAAATAAAGAAATGTTTATACAAAGATTAATAGCAGCTTCTGACTGCATTTGGTTTGCAAAATATTAAAGGGATATCACAACAAATGTGACAAAGAAAAACATGTGCAAAAAAATGTTTTACTGAAAAAGCAAAGTACTTTATGCTACAAATCTGACCAGGTCGGACAATCAAATAATATCCACATATAATTTATAGGCGTTTCTTCTTGTGTAATTTTTGAAATGAGAGAAAACTAACCAGCCATTTGTCATCATCCACAAGGGAGATGAAATGTTGGCGCATGTTAAGGCATTAGGATTGTTTAGAAAAGCTAAATGAAACTAACTTGAGCAGTAGAAATTTAATTGTGGTTTGCCTCAAACATAAGCTAGAGGTCATATGTTTTAAAAGACATTCTTCCTATCAGGTGCAGCTAAAAGCAAATCCACTACCTTAAGATATAAGAGGCCTTTAAACAGGCATTCTACCAGAAAATCTACTGAATTAGTATATAAATTTAGTCTCACACTGAAGTAAATAGTGTGAATTAACAAACCAAATATTTCCCAAAAGACGTCTTAACCTGGAATAAAATGCGCCGTCACTATATTGGTTTTAGTATGAATAAATGGGGAAAAGTTCAAGGCATATGAATATTCCTATTTGGCATTTAACCAATCAATACATTTCAATTAACTTTCACAATATATTGAATCTCAATCATCATTGCAATTTCAGAGCGTATAATGGTGCATAATGGGATGGGTGTTTATCATATCGTTTATCGTTATCCTGATAAATTTCTAGTCATGATAAGAACTTTGATTTATCACCTAAATGATAAATTAGAATTAATGTTGATTAAAAGCTCCAGAGATTTAAATTTTTCGGGGTTTGTTCTCTATTCCTTTACTTTTATTCCTTAACGGTTTGAGAAATTCAAAGTTTATGATTAAATGAGGTTACTACAGGATGCTTAGTGGTATAAATCAATTATTATTTAACTAGTGTCCTGAATTAGCCTTTAAATAAATGTGTCTATATTTTCAAGAGTAGCAGTTTGTGATTTTGGGATATGATTGCTGTGACGTGTAGTCACAGTCTTATGTTACCTAAGAAAGACTGTGAATAAAAAATGATTATTTTTTTAATAATCACTTTTATATTTATCACAATAGGACCACAACATGTTGTTATATGAGCCCTTGGCAGCAATAAATGTTAGGTTATAACATTCCTTGTGCCTGGTACAAAAAGAAGACTGAGAAAAGTGTAAATCCATTTCAAATCTATTTTGTCTATTAAAATATGCAACAATAAATTCCTATTTAATGTTTTCCCACTATACAAACACTTAGCCTTAAATATTTTTAAAAAGGAACTGATCTCTAACTAAGAGAATATTATAATAAGGAAATCAAAGAAAGAAGTTTTCCTAATGCCGTTCTGAAGACATTGTGTGGTTTTTTTAATCTCTCAGCAATACACTAGCCTAATGTCATGTCAAAAAATACAACTCTGTATGTCAAAGAAAAGTGGGGAAAAGGTCACAATTTCAAATGAAGAATGGTATAAAACCTGTGAGATGTCTCAGACTTCTACAAATTCACTAAAATGGAGGGAATTCAACTGGAAAATGTTCGTTCGATTCTTTATCACGCCATCTATTAAAAGTAAACAACTGTCCACCCAACAAATGTGTTGGAGGCAATGTGGCACTGCTGACGCCAACCATGCACATGTTTTCTGGAACTGCACTGAGATAAAACCTTGCTGGTCTTCTATCCACCTTACTCTGTGCAAAGTACTGTTGTATTCTGTTCCATTCACTTTTACCATAATGTATCTTGGCCTAATGTCTAATGTTTAATATGTCTAATAAACTCAACCATACTCAGTTGATGGACATTGTGGAGGAAATATCCACTATGGGATGAATGAATTTCATTTTAAGATCGAAAAAAGCTCAATTTAAAGAAAAATTGAGAAAATGGATAACATATAAACTAGCCTCGGAAACTGTCTGACTTTTGTATCACGACAACCAGTTGCTGTCTTGGGTTCGAGTGTTCACTTTTTGGTTTTGTACCTTGCTGATGCTCAGAGGGCTGAGATTAGTGCATTGTTTCCTTTATTGTCAAAAACAAAGATAAAGTGGGAAAAAAGGACTGATCTCGTGATAATAATGCAGGGAAAAGGGTCACAATATCAAAAAATCTCAAACAGAAGAATGCATAAATACTTTTCATTGATTCAGAACAACTATAAATTTAATATGCAATGGCTAAAGACTAGGATTGTCAAAAGTATCGATGCACAAAAAAGGATCGACACTAAAATGTTGTATCTGGATATGATACACGTTTTCAAAACTGTCAAAACCACTGAAAAGTGTTATTTTCTCTCTTGAAATCACAGAATGAAGCAGAGAGAAGTAGAACTGCATCCAAACATAGCTGACTCTGCTATCTATGTTTGACCAACATCGGAAATATGATGCCAAGTCCCCGGAAGCTAAGAAAATAAACATATGTATGTATGTCCTATTTAACTGTGGAAAAACCTGGGTTCCAACAACTTATTAAGCAGTTAAACCCAAGATAGAGCATTTATTTTAGTTTGTTAACTGGTTTAGCTAGTGTCATTGTTATGTGTGTAAAGCATAGCCAAGGTAGAAACATCCATATTTCTTTTCCATCCATCCATTTTCTGACTCATATTGTTGTTTATTGTATTTGTTTATTTATTTATTAATAAAACAAATTTTCCTTTACATTTTGGGTTCTTTGTTTTTATCCTTGTGGTATCGGAAATGGTATTGAGTATCGAATATTTTCCTGAGTATCTGCAGAGGCATAGCCAGAAAATTTTTATAAGGGTGGCCAGGCAATAACCAATGTACACAGAGAGGTGGCCAAAGTAGATAGGCACCAAAATCTCACGGTAAATCTATTTTCTAAATAAAGACAAACAATATTTTCACACAGCCTTTGCTAACAAATATATGAATACATTGAAACATCTGTGCTTTCTAGATAAAAGGTAATTACAATTACAAATATCTACATAAATTGATTATTTAATAATTTTTTATTAAAATAGTAATTAATGATTTCACTAAAGACTACTAGATGACTTTTCTCTTTACCCCATAAAACACAAAATCTATTTCTGGTTGAATTCTGTATTTATAATCTTTAATGTTATATTGATGTGCATAATCAACCACAGTGTTTTTTGTTGTTAATATATGAAAAATGTAAATGTTTAAATTATTCCACTTGAGAGTATTACTGTATTAGAGGGAAATAAATGGTAGAGGTGGCCAATGATTGGCTAAGGGTGGCCATGGCCACGATACAAAAATTAAACTCGATACTGATACTGTATCAGTATCGAGTTTAATTTTTGTATCGTGACAACCCTACTTAAGACATTAATTGATTTAATAAAGAAAAAAATACATCAGGCTGCATTTAACTGATAATTTCTGAAAATTATATTATTGCCTCTTAGAGTGTAAATAACAAATTAAGGTTACAATTTCTCATCTAACGCAATTTTTGATTGTTTTTAGGAAGCTGGTGTTCCATGCAGCCTGGGGTTACAGAGGGGGGCGTGGTGCACTACCAAAACAACACTTAGCCCATAATGGCGGGCGGCTGTCATATTGTTTTGACAGAACCAGCGAGTAGTTCTAGTTCACAACTTGAAACCAAACTATGACGAAGAAAAAATGAAAATTAAACTAGGTTTCCTCCTTGTTTTACATACTTTCCTCCCATTCCGATGTTATTTCCGTTAAACGAGCTGTTCCGTATCTCAATAAAATGTGTAATTTTGCTCCGTACGTCCTAATTACGTAACCATTCCACCGCAGCACGAGCGGCTGTTAACTAAGCAGGTCGCGCGACGGACCGAAGCTCCAGGGGTTCACGCGCGGGTGAGCGAGCGACATGAATCTGGGAGAACACAGCCCGTGGACACATCGATCAAACAGAGTTTAAAAACCCACTAAAATACGCTGTAAACAATCCCTCGAGGTCCGAGCATCGATTCCAGAAGCGCTCTGCTCGTTTATGGACGGTTCCATGAAGGATTGATTTTAAACAGAAGCTAAAACGGGAGTAGTGGGATAAATGAAAAGGCAGACAGTGACTGGGTCACGTTCAAACGGTCGAATTCATCAACCGAGTGGCTATAAAAGGGAACAATACGAGCCTACTAAAAGTTATGATATTAAAGATATAGACATAGTTTACCATGGCCTACCTTGTGATGGTAACAGGACATCTCCATTTTCTCTCTTCGCTGCAGAAATGTTGATATACCCTTTAATGGCGTTGCTGCTACTACTAACATTATTCCCAACACTGGAGGTCAACAACAGTTTATGTTTCTTTTTCTCCTCCCCGCCTCCTTTCCCCTTCTCTCTCTCCCTTTCCTTCTGTTTATCTTTACTCTTGGGTTTCGAGGAAGGCGCCTTGTGGAGGAAGAAATCGCTCTGTTTGAAGACTTTGAGAGGCTGGGATCCACCGGTAGCAGGCACTGGCTGGTCGCTGCTGCTCGCCTTCACCGGGCTGAAGCTCCATAAACCCGCGCTACCGCTGCTACCACAACTCTGTAGCTGCGGTTTCTTTTTCCCGTTGCTTCCATCAGCTCCGTACTTGCTGACTTTCTTCGGTTTAACGCTCCTCTCCTCGACTCGGAGCTTCTTGGGTGGCGGTGGGCTAGAAGCTCCGGAATACTGCGGGTGGCTGTCAGCGGTTACTTTAGCGAGACCGTTTTTGACCGAGGCACGCGGAGGAGAAAGAGGAACAGCCGCAGCTCCGGGAAGGTGAGCGGAGCCCTCCGAGTCAGCCATCTTGAGGTTTCTCCCTCTATTTACTCTGTTCCCCAACGGCCGCGGCTGCTGCTATTTTTCTTTTTTTTTTTTTTCCGCGACGTGCAAGTAGGCTGTAAATGGGCGGGGCGTCCAATTGATTGACGTATATGGCGTTTCTGGGCGGTGCTTATTTATGATTGACAGTGGGCGGGGCGTCACAACCCTGAGTAAATAAACAGCAAACCTCTGTGGGTTTGTAACACTATTAAGGACCCTCATACATGCTTTATGGGAAAAAAAAAACCCACATATATATTTTTTAAATATATATATATATATATATATATATATATATATATATATATATATATATATATATATATATATATATAATTTTTAAAATATATATATATATATTTTATTTATATTTTTAATATAAGTGGGTAAAAGCTATTTAAACCAACCCAAACATCACTTTACTTCTGCAAAAGAAATGGTTATAAATTGTATGAATCACACTAATAGACATTCATAGACTCTTACATTTCAAAAAATATTTTTCAATTAAACATTATAAGATAGTATTTTTGAAAACATAATGTTTAAAATAACAATGCCGGTTATGATTTAGTGCGTTTAACTTTTATAGGCCTTTAATCAAGTCAGCAAGACTCAGTTAAATCAATATATGCCTCCTCTTGTTATTTTTTTCCTAATCTTTTTATTAAAAAGTCAGAGGTAAAAACAATAAATCGTCATCGTGGTTACAAAAGACTTGCCGTTTTTCAAACTTTATACTCACTCAAAAACCTCCCCCCACTCCGACTGGACCCACAAATAATTACAATAATTGTGTTAGTAATGAATAAACAAAAAATTAAATAAAAAAAAAACACTGCACCAACAGTAGACTTCAGTTTTTGTTTGTTAAATGTAGGTAGGCATCAGAATAAACAAGTTAAAACAGTAAATTAATACCTCCATCTGCATTCCAAGGTCTTCATGGCTAACAAAGTATGACTTTGTGTATGCTCAACTTTTTATTTAAACCATTGAATTTTTCAATTTAATGCAATATTGATGGAAGTTCTTGGAGGCCACTAAAGTAGCCTCCTTCCTCTTATTGTAATTAAAGTGATAAGCTTTCTTTTGATCTTATATATACACAAAAGATCACTTCTCTCACTTTTTATTAATCTGGGTTGTAAATCCTCTAATATATTGGAATAAAATCATTTTTTTTCAATTAAAAAAAAAAGATTCTCATAATCAATTGGTTCAGATTAGAGCATATGATGGAAAACAGAAGTAAAAATCTCGTGTTCCTTCAATTCAAATAGAGCATCACTCATGTTTTATACCTATAAATACTTTAAAGAGGGCTGACACGATTTGTGGTGTCTTCAGATGGCCGTGTATCCTGCTGCTCACACTCAGCTGTAGCTACTATATTTATAAGGCCATTACATAATATGTTAAAGGCTCATTGGGGAATCTGAGGTGGCCCAGTTAAGGCAGCAACCTGGCCACATGTATAACATTTTAAATTTATGTTGTGCTACCAGAAAAAATGTTTGCATGCATGATGGCTCGGGTCTCCTGAATGTCCTAATTGGGATTTGAATTATAAATTAACCTACAGTAGGCTATTGGAAATAAGACTTCCAGGCCCTTTTAATTGAATATTTTCAAACAAAACGCTGTTTTAAGACAAAAGGGATATGAATACTCTTATTTATATATATATATATGATTCAAAAAGAAATTGTAACATTTCTTAGTCTACACACCCAGTTTAATCTATATTTGGTGCAAAAGATGAGAATTTGAGCAGGGATGTGTAAGATTGTTCTAATAGCTTTTTACATTCTTCAGTGAAGCTAATAGATCAGTGTTTAAACAAAGCATTTAGAGCACACCTCTAAACCTCTAATGTATGATATGACCATAAATAGGAAATGTTAATGGCTTCTGAACTCCTGATTAAAATATGCAACTCATGCCTAATTAATTCCCTGCCCTAAAGCACGGTTAAAGACCATCCAATTTAGCTAATTTAACTCTAAATTAGAGGATATTAATTTGCATAAGTGCAATTTCTCTCATTTTCACACGTTTCAATAGGATTTGGATTTTTTTTTCTCCAGTGTTATGCACTTAAAATGGATTATCCAAGTGTGTAGAGTGGGCTCTAAAGAACATGTTTGTAGGTCAGAGGCCCATTGTTTTAAGAGGTCATGATTTTCACGGTTATGATCAAAGAGGATGGAAAAAAGACCACCTCTGCACCAGGAATCACACGTCAAAAACGGCGTTTATTGCTGTGTAATTAATCCAAATAGACAGCATGTGAGCGCCAGAAAATAATTACATCACAAGTCTTTGCCTGATGTGTATTTTGAGGTGAGAGAAGGAAACACCAAATGTTAATTTTTTAAGGTGCGCATTATGCTTTTAGCAATTGTCACATTAGTGACAGGCATTTGTGTTGACATTAGTATTTTTAATTTAATATTTTCCAAGATAAAAAAAAAAATAAAATTCTAAATACCTTGTTATTTAATCAACTGGACAAACTTTAATTATTTCCATCCCCAAAAAAATAAGAACAATTAGGATATACCTTTTACTTTTTGTGCAAATAGATATTGGTCTGTAAGGCATCTGAACCACACCAAGTTAAATGACCATTTATTTGTTTTTAAATCCATATATTATGTTAATCAGTGGGCATTTTATGCTTTAATCTTTTACAGAAAATAATTTCCAAAATAAATTCCTCCCCACACACAATCACAATATGGAGAGAAAACAAGCGCCAACCATAACTGTAAAACAGTTTAAAGACAAGTTATTAAGATACGGCAGGGTGTCTGGAAAGCTGCACGGCTCAGATAGTCCTACTAATTAACCAGCTAATGTCAGCCTATTATACTTATGTCACTTTATGAAGATCAGGATAAAATCCTGTAATATGCTGCACAATATACATCAGAAAAAACAGAGAAGTCTTTTGATATTATTTGTTGAACACACAGCTTTAAAATAATGCATGAAATTGATGGTTTTAAACTAATTATGTTGCAGAATGCTTAGTAGCTGTTGGAATAATTTTTGCATATTTTAAAATGCAGTTAGAAGCAATTAGACATCATACATTTGTTTGTATTTCATGTATGACTGAATATACTGAAGGTTATAATTACTAGACACTCATATCATTTACTGGATAGATTAAACAAAAGTAAAGTTCAAAGAAATTGAATATTTTTATGTAAATGAATGTTCAAAAAATGTTTTCATTCTCTTTTTTCCTTTTACTGTAGAACCTAAAAGGAAACACTTTACCTACAGGCTTGATTTACTTTTCTAGACTTAGTACTAAAATTAGAAAAGAAAAAATTCAATTTTTTTGAAGGTTGCATAGAAACCCTGGCCTATTCATGGTGTCTCAACTTAAACCATTCATCTCTTTCTAAACGCTCATCAGGTTCATTTATAATTCATTAATAAGCCATCATATTCCAACTTCTAAAGCAGGGTTATAGCTTCATAAATCTGGGCTATTATCTCATCTTGTCTGCATTTTAAAATTATATCCATTCATGCTTGTTCAATTATCCCCCCGACAAAGTCATCTCAGCACCAAGAATAAAGAAACAAAAAACAGGACGAAGTGCGACTTTAGGTTCATCTTTACTGATTGATTTCTGCATCATACAAACATTTGGAGGGTGTTTTTGTGTTATGGTGGAGCAGGAGGGGGAGGCAGCCAATCAACTCACACTTTAGTCTAATGATGATTGGATGAGATGTTGGAGAGGAGGGGAGGGGTCTCTCTTAAAGGCACAATGGGGCTCCTTTCTGAGTTTGAATGAGTGGAGAGATGAACAGAAAATTGAGTCAAATGTACAGTCAAATAGTCTCTCCTGTTGTTTTGCAACTTTAAACTGCTCAGATATGCTTAACTGAAGCGATCAGTAAAGTATCATAGCTTTAAGGAAAAAAACAACAACACAAACTTAAGGAAACCTAAGGACAAAACAATGTTAGGGCACAAAACAAGTGAAAAACATGTGATTTTATAAGATAGAAAGGCGGAGTTTAGCACGTGGGGCGTGGTGGACATAAACAACATGTGTGTACAAAAATAACTTTCAAATTATCATTTACAAAAACAATGATAGAATAGCATTTCCATCATTAATATTATTAATTATACAATCTCATTTAGAGCCCATTGTAGTCATCATTCAGGGTCCAGGAGGCAGGCTGTGCTTTCTGCTCTGCCTACTAATTAAAACATTTACTAACCATTAAGTTTGAAAACCATAAAATCCAAACTGTGAAAAAGTTTGCAATAAGGAAGAGAAAAAAAATATAGCTGAATAATTTACATTATCTATGGAGAGGAATCAACATCATCATGCACGGACTTTCTTACATCTTCTGTTAATACAAACAGTAAAATCATAGCAAATTAACTTGGAACATTATATACCTTAACTGCACTGTGCAGCTCTTTACATATATAAAAAAACTATGCATATACTGTGTAGTCACTGCTGCAAAGGATGGAGATGTCATTCAAAGCAGTAATCCTTGGTCTTTACAGCTGCTTCTGGTGTGGAGAGGCGTGTTTGTGTCGGGTGGTGAGCTGAAGGGCTAATACTTCTGTCAAAATCCACTTTCAAATGTTTCATATGTAATTTTCAGATCCTGAAACACTGAGATGTTGACTGTGAGAGGCTGTGAGGACATCTTTAGTAACTGGAAGGGTTGGAAAAATAGAAACACATATACAGAGTTTTGGTCAGAGCTTTGGCCACCCCTGACAAAGACGTGAGGGGAAAAAAATTCAAATAATGATAATAATACTGGAATTATTCATCTTTATTGGTGTGAACATAATCTCTTACAGAGAAATTTGGGAAGAAAAAAATAAACATGAATGTGTTTCAAAAAATAAATAACAGGTGGTTCTTTTGTTGATAACCTCTCAAGCGACTTATTAATTTTCCAGAATGATATCTAATATTTCTCATTATTTAAAAGTATCTATTGACTGCTAAAAAGGATCCGTGCATTTTGGCCAGACAGGATTACAATCCAGCTGGGTTTAGTTTAAAAGGATTAAGATGGTGAAAAGCATTTTATGCATACAATTAAGTACGGTGCTGGATCTGTGATGCTGTGGGCTTTATAGGCTGTGAGGAAATTAGGAATTTCTCTCTTAATATTAATTAATAACAGACAGATTAAAATAAAAATCTGATTTCACTCTAGGATTATACTACCGCAATAAGAAATTCATTTAAATAAAGGCTTTTGACACATCTTTACCAGGGGTGGCAAAAATAGTTTAAAGACTAAAGGGGAGGAGAAGTGAAGATGGACCAAGATGGGTTTCATTCTCTCATGGTCCCGATGCTTAAGAGTCTGAGTTGTTTGCTAAAGAGTTTGAAAATTTATCTCTAATGTGATCAGACAAAAAAAAAATTCCTGATTTTTAATAAATAAATAATCTTTTCATTTTACAAATAGCCTGTGTTGAATTTTCTGCTTTCTTGAGCAAAACTTTCATAAACTTCCTATCAAGTCTAGCTGTCCCAAAGCTACATTCTTACCAGCCTGTAATTAGCTGCATATTTAGAATGAGCTGTCAGTCCAATCAGTGATTTGTAGATGTGGTAAAGGAAATCTTTAAGCAAAGGAAGGAAATATTCACATATCAGTGACTTCAAGTTATATTTTAGGACTAAATCAAACTGAAAGTTGAGATTTTTCAACAAAATAATCAACGAATCCTGTTTGCATATGACCTCAAACAAATGGAAGAAAGAACAACCAAATATAAAAACCTTAAGAGTTGAAGAATCACTGGACGATGGTAACCCTCGGCTACGACGCTCTGGTATCTATCCTGAAAATTCATAAAGTAGCACCAGCAAGAAGAAGAAACTTTGAGGGACAAAAATACAAAAGAAGTGAGAGAAAATACCCAGGCAACCTCCGCATACCCAACTGAAAAGGTTGCATCATGAGTACGAGATTATCTAAGTTCGCTTTGAAGATTGTTCGCTCAGCGGGAGGCAAAACCACCTCTGGGACAGGAATCTGCTTCCCAACTCTAGCTTTTCCTTTAGAAGTCACTTTCCTCTCATTTGGCTTGAAACTATTTTAAGAGTCACTCTGGATCATGCTTCATTTAGTGTAAAATAAAACAAAAAAAGGAAAAGTTTACTTTAAGTGTCAAAGAGGAGAGGAGACCCCCCCCTCCATTAACTAAGAGAGGTCCCAGGTCAGCATCTACAGCAGCCAAGTCAACATTGTGAGGAGGATAATCTCTGGATTTTAAGTCTCTATGCCAGCTTTGTTGTTTTCTTTTCCTGTGTGCCAGTCTGTGTTTTGGGCCAACCAGTCAGGAGTCGTGTCCCGATAAGGAAAGACGTTGATGGTGGATAGGTCGTTCCATCATGTCCACTCCACAGGGGGTTCTCGGGGGCCTTTGGGCTGAATGCAGCGGTTACCGAATCCTGAAACAAGAGATGTTCTTAGCTGGGTTTGCTTTTTGTTTTTGGACAGAATAAATAGCATCCAGAAATTTCCCCAACATTCTGCCTGGTCTTAATGCCAACTATGCTGCACATGCGGGCCAAAGCTAGACTTCCTTCCAGCAAAAGCAACGCCACATCAAAAATACGCCTGTCAGCAACATTCTCAGCAAATGTGCAGCTATTCCTTTTCCTTTTGACTAGTGTCCTGCAAATGTGTTCAAACTTTATCTTTTGTCATATTCAGACCACAGTTGACAACAATTTTAATAAAATTTGGTCAGGCAGACCAACAAATAGTTGTGCAAAACAAACACAATGCAAAGGTTACATGATGCTAATCTTTTTCGGATGATTCTCTAAGAAATGCCAATTCTTTAACGCAATTGGCTCCAATCAGCTTCTGAAAACAACCTTCCAGATTTGTACATTCTTCATCTGATTTATCCTGAAATTTGGCTACGCTATTTAAAAGCACTCATATATTCGAGGTAAATAACATTTGCATCGTAAGTCTCTTTCTGCTGCAACAGTTTTCCTTCCAAGAATTCCTCCCATTCGCTGCAAAAGAAAATACTACCCAGGATGATTGGGATTGAAGTTCTGAGAGAAATTACGGAAGATGTAAAATTTTCTATAGAGGTATTTGGAGAAAAGGCGAACTTACCCACCCAGGTCTACTTGGCTAACTCCTGCTGTGCTGCCATCTGATGCACATACCACTGGTGATGTCTTGGCACAATCAGAGACATCTGAACACAGAAAAACAGACAGAATCATTAAAACCTACAAAACCAAAGTAGTTGGAGGTATCTCACTATAGATCTGGATGAAAAGAGTAGATATTAGTACGGGAAATCTTAATGCTTGTATGAATGTAGTCTGTTTAGAAAGGTAGTATCTAATAAGAGCTCTGGTCAATGCTCAACTTCCACAACATTTTTCTCGTTCTTGTTCGATTCTTTATGACTCGCTCTGCATCAGAGAGATGCGTGTAGAAAGCTACTATAACACTAAACGTAAATTATTCTGACATTCCACGGAAAATCCTAAGTTTATGAAACAAGTAACAACTTTTTCCAGATAGTTCTTCAGCAAAATTTACAGAGAATTCCCAGAAAAATGTTAAAATAGCATTTTTTTAGCAGGTCAAATCAAACAGAAGAAAGACTATTGTTAGCTTCTCTTTAAATTAAAACACTACAATGAGTTAGCTGTAGCTCTAATGGTTAGCTCTGGTATGTCCTTAGAGGCAAAGTTAAAGATATGGGTGTTTCTGTTTAAATGCAAGTATAATTAGGCCTTTTTAGCCATTTCTTAATTTGATGCCAACTTCACTTGTAAGTAGAAATCTTTGTTTGATGGAAATACAATAGGCCTTTTAAAATAAGAGATATGATATAATAACCTTAAAGTCCTATAGAACCTCTTGTTTTGTCACATAGGAGGAGATGAGATTTAATTAAGTATATATCAGTTTAATCAGCTGATACTAACCCTGTGGTGTGGACCAAGTGGGAGCTCAAAAAATATTAAGTTTGCACTCAGTAAAAACACATCAGTGAGCAGTGATTCCCTTTAGATGAAGCTGCAGAGCTGAACCTAAGCCACCAAAGCAGTAAATTAGCCCTAACAATCCTTAAGCAATCTTCACAGCTCTCATTTTTATTGCACCTCTCTGCTGAGTTGTTTTATCTCTCCCTCTCCTTTATTGGTTTTACTTGTCGTCTTTCCCAAACAGCTGCTCACATTTACTGTTGTCACCGTTAGCCCACACTAGCTAATTCATCAAAGCTTTGGAGATCTAGCTCCATCTCTATTTAGCAACAACTGTGAAGATGAATTTGAGACTAAATAAACTGAGGTTATTGTTTCTGTATACACTGAGACGGAAAACCAAAAGAAACCAAACAAACCATTAAAAACAACAGAAAGAGTTGAAGCCGACATAAGTGTCTGTACCTTTCTGTGAGCAGCTCCATTCAGCTGAGGCTGATGTTCTTACTTCCAGAGGATCTGAGTGAGCGAAAGACAAACAGTTACAAACAAAACTGAAAAATAAGACATAGAACATTAAGAGACAAAGGAGTTCATCCAGTCACACTCATGCCACTCACACTGCTTAAAGACTTGCATTTTACTAGCTACAGAAGGAGGAAACCCAAAAGTTCATCCCAAAACGTTTCTGATATTCTGATATTCTTTGCTTTTCGTCCGGTCATACAAAACAAGATAAACATTGTTTTCACATTTTTTCCTCATTTTAATCACACGTTTCAACATATTTATTGGGATTTTATGTGCTAGACCAACAGAAGGTCAATCAATATATTAAAATGGAAGGAAACAGATGTGGCTTTTTCACAAAAAAACTGAAAATATTCCATTTTGCCCCTTTTTACCCCACACATAACACACATCATGCTGTGGGATTCCTTTTCTCCAGCAGGGAACAGGGAGTGGCAGATCAAATCTCCAAGTCTGCTGTTTTTACTGTGTCTGTAAATGAAAAAAATACTATGCTGATGCAGCTGAACTAGGAGCCCATGTCCCATTGAAAAAAACCCAATCTGAGGGACCAAAGCCCAATAACAAAATTCTTCTAATAGGGAATTTGCATTAATCAAATGTTCAGGTTTTTAAAGTCAATTCAATTTAAAACACTTTATAGACCCTAAAGGGAGGTTAACTATATTAACTCACAGGGTTTTTTATTGGGCAAATGAGGTTTTATGGATGTTAACAAGATAAAAATCATTTTTTTGAAGTCTAACAGGAGAAACCACATCTAAACTTACAAGACTTGAATTAAATGAAACTATTTGATTTTCAGTCTTCATGATGACGTATATACAGGTGCTGGTCATAAAATTAGAATATCATGAAAAAGTAGATAGATTTCAGTAATTCCATTTAAAAAGTGAAACTTGTATATTATATTCATACATTACATACAAACTCATATATTTCAGATGTTTATTTTGTTTAATTTTGATGATTACAAATGACAACAAATGAAAATCTCAAATTCATCATATCAGAAAATTAGAATATTACTGAAGACCAATAAAAACAAAGGATTTATAGAAATGTTGGCCAACTGAAAAGTATGAACATGAAAAGTATGAGCATGTACAGCACTCAGTATTTAGTTGGGCCTCCTTTGGCCTGTATTACTGCAGCAATGCGGCGTGGCATGGAGTCGATCAGTCTGTGGCACTGGTCATTGGTCCATTGTGTTTTCTGAGGACCACAGTCAGTGATGGTTTGGGGTGCCATGTCATCTGCTGGTGTTGGTCCATTGTGTTTTCTGAGGTCCAGGGTCAACACAGCCACATACCAGGAAGTTTTAGAGCACTTCATGCTTCCTGCAGCTGACCAACTTTTTGGAGATGCAGATTTCATTTTCCAACAGGACTTGGCACCTGCACACAGTGCCAAAGCTACCAGTACCTGGTTGAAGGACCATGGTATCCCTGTTCTTAATTGGCCAGCAAACTCTCCTGACCTTAACCCCATAGAAAATCTATGGGGTATTGTGAAGAAGAAGAAGATGCAATACACCAGACCCAACAATTCAGAAGAGCTAAAAGCCACTATTAGAGCAACCTGGGCTATCATAACACCTGAGCAGTGCCACAGACTGATCGACTCCATGCCACGCCGCATTGCTGCAGTAATACAGGCCAAAGGAGGCCCAACTAAATACTGAGTGCTGTACATGCTCATACTTTTCATGTTCATACTTTTCAGTTGGCCAACATTTCTATAAATCCTTTGTTTTTATTGGTCTTCAGTAATATTCTAATTTTCTGATATGATGAATTTGAGATTTTCATTTGTTGTCATTTGTAATCATCAAAATTAAACAAAATAAACATCTGAAATATATGAGTTTGTATGTAATGTATGAATATAATATACAAGTTTCACTTTTTAAATGGAATTACTGAAATCAATCTACTTTTTCATGATATTCTAATTTTATGACCAGCACCTGTACTCTGATTTTAGCAAACAGTGGGTTAAGAAATTAAAGAGACAAATTAATGCAACATCTTGAGATTTTTGTTTGAGAGAGAAAAATAAAATGTCCCTTTTCCTTCCACTTCCTGATTATGTTCAGTTTTATTGTACAATCACATAAAAACCCAAGTAAAATATGAGCGCACTTTTTAAGGATTATGATGAAAATATGTGAAAAAGTTTTTCCAAGCATGTTGATATGGAGTTGTGGTCTACAGCGCCCTCTAGTGATGCAATGTCGCTAACACCTCCAGGAGAAGGAACACTGTTCTTGCACCATGTGCTCCAGCATGGAGGATTATTTGAACATACGTTCAGATGGTTGAGCATCAGAAAAGGAGAACATCAAATCAAACAACAATAGCTGATGGGTCTCAATCACATTAACAGCTTGACAATAACCTCAGGACACCTACAACCACTTGGATATTTATTAAACACATCTTTGTAATTCAGCCTCACAGATTCATCCACCTTCAAGGAGAGGATGGCCGATAGCATGGAGGCAACCCAGTTGAGTTACGTCACTGGAGGCCCACCTGAAGAGGGGGGACCAATGCAAACGCACCTGTGGCCAGTATGAAGGACTCAGGGGTTCTCTCAGGGAGGGGGGGAGGGGAGTCGTCGCTGTCCCAGCAGTCTGGGTTAAGAGGTCAGAGGGCAAACGAGAGGTTAACAACTGGCTGACAACAGAAGGAGAAGAAGTGAAAGTGTTGTGATTTAGAACCTGCTCTTATTTTGCATCTAATTTTTATCAAAACAAATCCATTAAGATTAGTTGAAAGAATCCCAAATTTTAAAGTGTAGGGAGGAACTCTTTCTTCACCTGTATCATTATTTCAAAACAAATCTACAAGATTTAGTTGAGTTTGAGGCTTAAATGACAGCAGCTCACAATTGTAATTTTCAAACCTAATGTAAATCTAAAGTGTGTTTAATATTGTTTTTTTCATATAAATGCATTCTGGATTATTTGACTCCATATTTATTCCTGCTTTAAATGAGTTTTAAATAGTGTGCTGCAGTAATTCTGAAATGAGCTTCTTATATATATTTGTCTCCATTTGGCAACTTAGTCTAATGTACTGCAGCATAAATCAGCTTTTTCAGATGAAGGATGTTTAATTCATTTTTTTTTGTTTTTGCTGACACAGATAATACATTTTAAAGAACCTGCTGCCTAAAAAAGGTTAAACTATTCTACATAAAATTTAGATAAATATCTTCAGTTGTCGACATTATACCTCAGGTTAGTTTCTGATTGTCTTTTTAATTTTTGTTAACCATCTTTAATCATACTGCAGTTATAAAAATTTGTTTTATTCTCATTCAAAATTGAGCAAATGTTTGTTATGACAAGATTGTTTTACAATAACTACAAAAAATGTAAAATATTTTTTCCTTTCCAGTTCACTTTAAGAAAACGAACATTTTTTATTTATTTTAATTAACATTAAAATACATAACATTGATTTCCTGTTGCTATTTTATCATCTAATAGTGTAATGACGTCTTTTATTTCTTTATTTCTTTTATTTCTTTGCATCACGCTGGATTTATAGTCAACTTTTTTATTTAAAATTAGTCTGGAGTCTATGATCAGCAGGTGAATATAAAAAAAATTATTAAAAATAAGATTTGCAAGCATTTTGATCTATAATAGTAGGTGCTTTGAAACTCCTATTTGAATTTATAAAGAAAATTTTGGCAAAAATGTGCCAAAAATGACCAGAATTTATAATACTTTTTCATTTTTTTAAAACAATAACCCCTACTGGTCCTTTTGGATTGGACATTAGTGTCTGAACAGAGCCTCCCTGTTTTAAACTAGTTAGCCCTTCAGTAACAGTCATGTTGTGCCAACAATAAACAGCAAACCTCGGCACCGTGTGCATTGTGCTCCTCACAAGGGTTCAGTGCATCATTCCCAAAACAGCCAACAAATCAAGCAGCCACCAGCAACCCTAAGCTTTCCAACCACCACAATGCAGCAGTTTGCGCCCAATTAACAAGCAGCTATCAACAATCAAACAGCAGCCGTTAGCCAGGGGTAAATAAAACTGCCACGCTGAAATGAGTGCCAGAAAGCGAAGCAGGCCAAAACATAAACCAGATTCTTAAAACTCTAGAGAATCAACTAAAGATCAGGAGGATTTTCAGCCTTCAAACCACCGAAAAATGTAAACCACACCCTATAGTCACACTCAAGCAAAGGGTCCGACCCCACTCCGCTCTGCTAGGCCCCACCGTGCACTAATGTGGCACCGATCAGAAACATGCAGTGTTGATCCTTTGCCGTCCAACATGCACACACAGCTCACGCAACGTCGCCGATCCATTCGCTGATCCAAACACAGGTAGAAGAGGGGTAGAAGTTTGGCTGCGAATGCTTGTAGCATTCTTAGCAAACTAAACTAATTAGTAAATAAAGTCATGCTTTTAAACAAGACACCTGGCTGCACACCTTCCCCTCCCACCTGAGGCTCACAGTGCCCTCAGTAGGTTTCATTTTTAGGGGATTTTAGGAGCCGGATCATTAGGAAATTGTGCATATTTTTGAAGTGGAAGGAAAATTATACATAGTTTTTATTATTAAATGCTTTCAACAGGTCATTTTTTGTAATTTAATGAAAAAATCTGTTTAGATGGAAAAAGCTCTCTGACCTACTTGCTAAAAAAATCTTTTGGAGTTTATGTGAAGATGATTAAAGTCAAGTGTCTGTTTGAAACTGCATAAAACAAAAATAGAGGCTGTATAATTTTCCTTTCACGTATATGCACTGGTGTGAAAAGGTCAAAGGAGGGTCTGTCTATGGTGTCACAGTGTGACAGGCTGGGCAGGTGTAATAAATCAATCAGAAGAGCGATCAAAGCGGCTTTAAGACGTACTTGTTGGGCTTCCAGAGGGCGATGGGGTGGTCTGTCCGGCGATAGACATAGGCAGCACCTTTCTGACCGACTGCTGTGTTTCAAGGTGAGGCGAGGAGGTCACCGTGGCCGACGCTGTGGAGACGTTTTTATGATAACCCTCCTTCAACTCAGCCATCTCCTCGTTCCCCTCCTCGTCCGAGTTATCAGAGTGAAGGGGGTTGGTGAAGCTGAGGGCAGTCCTGACGGGGGTGGAGGAGGAGGATGACGAAGAGGAGGATATGTGGGAGGAGGAGGAGGAGGACGGGGCGACTCTGTCTGAGGATGAAGAGGAGGAGGTGGTCTTGGGGAAGGTTTTCTCAGGGCTGTTCCACGCTGCGTGGCCACTTTTCACTTCTTCTGTCTTCTCCTTGCTTTCGCTTGTTACAGGTAGGTGGTTTGGTCTGGTTAGGACGCTCCCGTCGCAGTGACCCTCCTCACATCCCCCTGCTCCCCCCTCTGTGCCGGAGTCCTCCGACAGCGAGGAGCTCGACGTCAGCAGGGTTTGACCGGACCGAGCTTTGAAGGCGTGGCCTCTCTGTAGCGCGGAGCTACTGTTGGTTGAATTGTTGGCTCCTACGGAGGACGACGTGTCAAAGCTGCGAGGCCCTTCCTGCAACGGAACCTTTTTAATCTCTATACTGAGCTTCCTCTCAATCCGAGGGGCGCCACAACATTCAGCCGTCGGGGAGAGGGGCGAGGAGGGTGTCTGAGTCTGGCCCGACTCCGGCTTTGTCGACGCTGAGGAGGATTTGTTGTAGTTGTCGTTGAGATCGAGGTGTGAGACCTGGGTCTGCTGATTTTGGCTCTGTACATTTAGATCTCTGTGCTCTGAGGGGTTGGCTTGTTTGGGAGGACCGGATTCAGACTGGTTCTGCTGCTTGTTCCCATCTTCATTCTGCAATCAGAGATAAATGAACCATGTCAAACAATAACGATATTTGATTATATTTTATTTTAAATAAGATGAAGCAACCCTGAACTGAATCACATATGCAACAGTCCAACAAGTCAGAAAATCACTCTAATTCTATGACCAAATAAAATATGCTACTCAGATTATGGGAAGTCTGTTAGATCCATTTAAAAGATGTATTAGACTCAACTTTATTTATCCCTTGGGATTACTCCTTCAGGGAAATTCTGATATATAGAGCACAAAGAGTTAAAACAAGATGAGATTAATGCTAAAAATACAACAGACATATTAAAAAGTCAATATCCTTAAGCATCAGTTTATGCTCATAACATTTTGTCGACTGTCTAGTTAATCTGGTGCTATACATAAATCTGGATTGAATTACGTTTTATTCTGGCAGAAAAAAAAAAAACTAAATATGGTTCTTAAACATTTCTAAGTCAGAAATTCTCAACTTTAAGACACATTTCCACTCAGGGGTCAAACTTTAATACAGACACAAACTATGAAGTATGTTTAGATCTACAGCGGTCTGAAATTAAACATGCAATCTGGAAAAAGTTGAAAACGAGAAGCGAATAAATGATAGGATCGTGGACAGACTCATGGATGAACTATTAGATTTACAAGAAAGTTTTTTTTTTTAAATCCACTGGTCTTTGTTTTCAGGTTTAGAGACATTTTGTTTCACATCCAGGATGATTTTCAATTCAAAATGTCAGAAATAGGGTTGAGTTCAAGGCTTTATAGAGTGGATCAAAACCAGGCCTAGTTTTGGTTTAGAAAACATGCAAATTAAACCGGACGAACAGGTCAGCCCCTTAAGCTGGGCGTAGACTGTGCGATTTCTTGTCCTTTTCGGGCCGATTCACCAGTAATGCGAGAATTTTTTGACTGGGCCGACTTTCCGCCTGATCGTGCGTCGTGTAGTATACGGGGGTAATGAGGAGCGATTAGCCTCTAACAACCACCCCCCAATCAGGAATCCTAAGGTCTGGACAAAATCAAACATGTTTGAAATTCAGTCGGCCGCCGTAAGGTCGCATTAGAGCGTCGGACCGCACAGTGTGAGAACAAACATTGTGAGCTGTGAACTTTTACACCCTGCAGTTTCATCATACAGTTTGAGCTGTAGCTGCATACAGCGATTTAAAATTTCGCAGTTTATTCCCGGCTTGAGGAATGGGGAGTCGTTTCGGTGCAATACCTAATACTGGTCTATGCCTCTGAAAGGGGGGTGGTTAGGGGGAATTGTTGGTCTGGTTGATGTTCTGATCCCCTCCCTGTATGGGGACCATACAGTGGATAATGAAGACAGACTGGAAAACAAATATTCCACTCCTCCCTGCAAAACTTTCACCTGTGTTTATTATAACTTTGCTTTTTGAGAATTATTGGTTCCCAATATCACCATTTGGTGGATTAATAATTACTAAAATCCGAATCCGACTTCAAAGCGAGACAACTGCTACCAGTCCAAAGAAGAAAAACATGTTTTTTTTATTACACACAGGTCCTTATAATGACCTTAAATGTTTCTTTGTTTTCCTACCAGACTCTAATTTATATGATCCACACATAATAGATTTTCCTCATTCTCTTTCTTAAACTACGTCTCAGTAGACATTTGGTTATTGCATTGAGGTGGGAAAGGAGAAAACCCACCATTCAATTAACAATAAAGTTATCAAAAGGACCAATGGAACCAAAAAGTATTTCTATGTTCTTTGTTACCATTGATGGGTTTTCACATGTAGAAATTAAATATCAGTCATAAATAGCAGTGCTTCCAGTACATTTCACTTTCCCAACGTACCTCTTTTAGGCCGCGTTGGGTCGTATCCAGGACATGGATGACTGGTTTGGGATGGTAGCGGTCGTTGTCCTGCCGCACGTTGGTGACAGTGGGGAAGGCCGATGGGGGAGAGGGGGTGAGAATAGGGGGGACAGGATGAGCCTCAGGGGGCTGGAGGATCTCCTCCTTCACATCACCTTCCACCTGGGAACTAGAAAAACCAGAGAGGAGTTAAACTGTTCCTTGTTGGTCTAAAATGACACATAATAAAATGAACCTTCGTTTTTTGCAATAATATGGAAAGTAGCAGTTTTTTTCTGTTAGGTGATATCACCACTAGATGGCAGGATTTAAAAAAGTCTGGCAATAAACTCCAGAGAAACGGATGACATGTTCCTAGATTTCAGGCTACAGTTGCTGGATAATTTTAGAGCTTAAAATAGTCTCTCATTCTAAAAGAAAAAGCTCAGATTAGATTTATAAAATTCTCTAACTAACTTTGGATTTAGGGACAGTAAGGCAACAACATTTAGAAGATAAATCCTTTATCCGGTACTAAAGTGAGAAAGCACTCAAGCATCAACTTGGATTTCATGTTTTAGTCACATTAGTGGAGCTTTTAAGTGTCGCTAACATTTAGGCTCACACAAGATTCAAAGTTAGACACCAAGACGTCCCTCCACTCCCCAGAAAACAGGCTTTTACATGCAGGTACACATGAAATGACGACGATGCAGAGAAACGGTGAAAGGATGTGGTGGCGTGCTGATTCAAGAGCACATGACTGAGGCTAGAGCCGAGGCAGGAGTGACTGCACAAAATGCTGCGTGGATCAAAGGCTGAAAGCACAAGGAGGGGGATTTCCTTTCTTTTAGTTTGGCAGTTAACCTACGAGAGCCTTTGTCACTAAGCCCGAGTTCTGGAGCTTAGCTGTCTCTGGCTGATTCTTTGAAAGAGGCCGAGAACTGTTGAGCTTTTATTGTTTATCTGTGATCTGAACAGGCTGTGATACCGCACCGAAAACATCGAGTAAAGGAAACCCCTGAGATGTTTGCTTGGAATTATAAAGGCAGCAACACTAGAACATTGACTTATTAGATTTTGTTTTTGTTGCCTAAGCACAGACCGTCTCTAACTACAATAACGTCCTGCTGCCTCCCAAAAGTCACCTGTTGGCAATTGTAGCCCATTAGGCTAAACATTACCCCTTTGTTTTCTTTAATAATAATAAAAAAAACAACCACAGAGGAGGTTGCCTCATTTTAATCATATTTTTTTGTCTCAACAGGCAAAAAAATAAAAAGATATTCAACAATAACAACTACGACTCCCGCTGGTGTTGATTGCTTCTACTGGGATTTAAACAGTCTGTAAAAAACTGCATGAGATGAAACTCGAATGGCTCCTAAGGGGAAGCTGAATAAACACTTATTAAGGCGCAGCAAAAGAAACAAGTAACACCAAAAAAAAGAAGAAAAAAGGGTGAGGAGGCTGCAGGCAAAGACAGCTGCAGCGACGAGACATGCATGATGAAATGGAACTACTAGGATTCAGTTTAAACAAACTTCTACTTTCATTCAGAGGAGCCAAACTTTCCCTGCAGTCTATTAAAGTGGTCCTAATCAACTCTTCTACAAGCTTCTGTTTGGACTTTGGCAGCTTTTATTCTTTTTGTACATTACAAATGCCAACTGAGCTGTGAGCTTTGTGCACAAGTAGAAAACAAAAAGCTGAAAATGCCCTTAACAGAGATTAGTCAACACATAGCCAAATTAAAAAAGGAAAAACCTTGAGAAATGTTCAGAAACTGCAGAGAGCCATTCATAAGATCATTTGAAAAGGTTAGAACAAACAAAATATTATAACAAGATATATGTATTAAATCAAAATGTAGGTCTATCAGGCTCTTCTGCCAAATTGTCAATGTTCTCCTTGGAGAAAGTGTCACATTCTTCTGCAGGTTTCAAAGAAGATAAGGGACACCCGAACGGAAGCTAAAAAAGATATTTACTAGTCCCATGGTGAATTTTGACAGATTTACACCTCAGCCAAGAAAGGTAACAAACCGTATGTGAAGACCAAAGAGCTTCATAGAATTAAGATGTTGGAAACACATTCTGAGAGAGAAACAAGTGATCTGTTCGAAAACCTAGGACGCATCCTTAGAAGACCGGATTCGAAGGCCGATTACGTCATAGCGCGGCGCCGAGGTCTGGTCGGATTCCAAGAGTCCTCGTTATGCGGCCTTAAAATGCGTCCTTCTTTTTGCCCGATTTGAAGGACGGGTCCGATGTATCCTCGGTATTCTTGGATATCCCAGGATTCATTGCGAGACCAAGCAAGCCGTGATCAGAGTAAAGGTTACTTGGCGCCGAACAGTGGTGAAAATTGGAAGTTCAGTTTAATATAATACAACTCTGTGAATAGTTCCGTCTGAAATGAATGAAAATAGTTGTTTTAATGGTTATTGAGTCAGATATGTGGCGGTAATGTTTGGTTTATCTAAAGGATTTAATCTGTTACTGTGTAAATGGGTTTGGCTGTAATTTAAGGACAGATTCTAATATATTTGCAGGGTGGGGACTATAAATCTGATAGGATTTTTATCTTTTTATTGCTGTTTTGCACAATATGCTTAACTTCCTATTTTTTGTTGTTGAATATTAGAGATTTTGCAGATATATTTTTTATACATATATTGTTTAGATTTACTTATATCTTTCTACCCCTTTTATAGAATAGAATAGAAAATCTCTTTATTTTCCCACAATGGGCAAATTTACAGCAGCAGAAAGATTATTGAAAATGGTCACACAAATGTGGACCTTAGAAAAATGTATAAGAATAACATAATAGGGAAGAGTTAAAATATAAACAATAAAATACTGTAAAGTGTTTTAACAATATAAAACTGGGGAATAAATAACCAATATGCAGCTATGGACATTTTTACAGTCATGGATATTTGAAAAAGCAGCAACATCAGAGATGTGCAGAATGACAGCAGCAGGTTATTTAACTGACTTTTTCTATCATTACATTTGATTTGATTTGTTCCTGCTCCCGCTGGTTGGAACCTTTATTCCACTCTGGATTCTTGTTAATGTAGTCTTTGTTCACTTCACAATAAAAAAGAAATAAATAAACAGTTTTGAAAACTTCTGTATTCATTCTTTTCCTGCTTTGTGTGTCAACGTTCACGGTTGCTCAGCAACAGAGCATACGGCGGTAAAACCCGCCAAAGGGTAGACCTGGTCGAATTTACAGCCAAAACTCTTCCGGTCTCCTTATTTTCAAGGACTTCGAAGGATCCAGTCTAGGTAGACCGCGTCCTTGGAGGACCCGTCCTAGGTTTTCGAACAGAGCCAAGGACTAAATGCAGGTTGTGTGTAAATAAACACATAACAAAGCCATGACTCCATTGTTTTAAAACGTCCTGCTGTATCTCCCTCCATCACTCACGCATACTCAACTATAATTCCCCCTAAACACAAACTTGCATTACCAAAATGACTCCATGGGAGTGCAGCTTATCTGGATAAAAATAGCTTGTACCGTCATGAGCAGATTTGGCTTGAATATGTGTTTCACATTACTTCTTTAAAGACAGTTGAAGGAGGACGGGAGGCGTAAGAAACACCCAGAAAGTTCCGGAGAGCATCCTCTTCTGTCCCGCTTCCAGGAACGCTCGCTATCTTGGCCGCTTCTCAAAGGTCAAATTTGTGTGTTTTAAAAAGAACAGGAAAGAAACTCTTCAGTAAACAGTTCACTTATGGCTACATCCTAAAATTGGGGCTCTGGAAAATGTTTCCCATCGAAGCAATTTGGTCAAAAAATTAAGGAAAGTAAATTTAGAGCAGGAAACAATAAATGTGTTTGAAAACATATTTATATGATACTAAACCAACTCGTTTATATTGATACCTCTGATAAATCTAACCACAAATGGCTGATGAAGTATTAAAGGTAAATTTTGTTGTAGATGAAAAACGGCCCTTGGACTCATGCCAAAATGTGGCCACTTATAAAAAACAGGAAAAAAATGGAGGAGCACTAAAAGATCTTAGCAAGAAAAGCAGATTTCTTCTCGAACTATGTTTGCAACTGATCAGGGAAGGAACAACCGAATAAGGTGATGGTTGAGGACAAAAGTTTTATGCCACATTAATGTGATAATTGTAGGAAAACAGCAGCAGTTCAGCAGATGTTTGTGAATGTAAAGTTTCTTAGGAAACAAATCTATGATTTTCTGTGACTTTTACTCTCTAATGTGTACTTTATCAGTATAAATCTATTTACTGATATCCCAGTGTCTGAACCAAATTAATGATAGATACATATTCTGTAACAAGAGGTTGACCTGACTTTTTAGGGTGGAAGAATATATGTAAAGCAGCTATAAAACATGAAGTGTAAGGCAGAATCAACTCACCAACAGGGATAACTCACTAACTAATTATGTAATAAAGTTTGTTAAACCTGTAGCAATCTCACAGTTTGCCAATATTAGATATTTGATCAACATTTTTCTGCTCTGCTGAACATGTTGCGCTGAAACAGGGTGGGAATGTGGTGTTTTTTTCTTCTCTCCTTTTATTGTTTTTTTTTTTTTGTATGTAGTAGGAGAATATTTCAACATTTGTACTTGTGCGTATATATTAGAAGTTATAGCTGCATAAGTATACGTTTATCCACAAAAAAAAGTGAACTGTATTTCTTATTGTGATTATCTTATCATTTGCTTCAATAAAAACAATTTGAAAAAAAAAAGAAGATATTTGATTAACATTATTTGGGTGAGTAAGGGAGCTAGGGCACAGATGCCCCTTTCAATAGTAATACGAGCCAGAAACACAGTACAAATTACTATTGCCCCATTTACACTACCCTTGAAAAACCGATCCAGGCCCAGACCGGTCCGAGCTTGGATCGGTAACCAGGCCAAGCTCAGTTTTGACGACCGTTCACACGTCACACTTATCTCGGTTATCTCGACTCCTCGCCTCCTAGAGACGATGTGCGGTACTACTGCTAGGATTGAAGGAGGGACTCAAGCAGCTGGTGGCGGTAATGCACCAAACGCTGTTTGTCAACCGCCGTAAAACCCAAGAAGAAGAAGACGAAGGAGGAGGGAATCAAGCAAATCAAAATGGTGGCTCCCGTCACATTCAGAAAGTTATGCTTGATTATTATTGCTGTACTTCCGTGTTTGCGGTGGGTCAGGCGAAGACGGCAACCTTGCGCGGATGTACTTGAATGGAGTGTGAATCGGCATGTTCAGCCAGTCGGCGATGACGCGTTCTGCTCATGCGCTCTTGTTATCAGAGAACCGAGCCAGGAAAAAACCGAGCCGAACCCACCTCGGGAACTGGTCTGCAGTTAGCGCGGTCCGGTTATGTCTATCTCGGTTCAGTTCAGGTTGTTTCCGTTCACACACGACAAGTTATCTCAGTTACTGAGCTCGGACCGGTCTCGGCTCAGTTTTTTAAGGGTAGTGTAAACGGGGTACATGATAACCTATCGTGCGTAAATGGAAAACAAACTGAACTGAACGGAGCTAGACACAACCGGACCGAACTAACTGCAGACCAGTTCCAGAGGTGGGCTAGGCTCGGTTTTTCCCTGGCTCGGTTCTCTGATAACAAGAGCGCATGAGCAGAACGCGTCATCTCCGTCTGGCTACACATCCCGATTCACACCTGATTCCCTCCTTCTTCGTCTTCTTCTGCTTGTGTTTTATGGCGGTTGGCAAACAGCTTTTGGTGCATTACCGCCACCAACTGCTTGACGTCCTCCTTCAGTACTGGCAGCAATACCGCAGATCGTCACTAAGAGGCGAGGAGTCGAGGAACCGAGATAAGGTGATGTGTAGACGGTCGTCAGAACCAAGCTCGGCCTGGTTAACTGATCCGAGCTCGGACCGGTCTCGGCATGGATCGGTTTTTCAAGTGTAGTGTAAATGGGGTATATGCCTACCAGAATTTGATCATTTAGATTGTCTAAAGGAGTCACTCAACACTTTTAGCTGCGGCAGACTCAGCTTTCAAGAGATTTAAGCCTATATCTAGATAAATCTATTAAAGATGGTCACAATTTCCACTTAAATCCAGTTTTTAGAATTGGAAATGTTCTACTCTGTTGGTAAATAAGTTATAAATTAATGCTTGAGCTTAGAACTTTTAGCTTCATTCTGTGCTACCTTCTATATTCCTTCTGTCATTTTTTAAACTTAAGACATGGGAATGGATTCAACTTCATGATCTGCAAATATGAAACCAGCAAAAATAGAAAAAGCTGGAAAAATGACAACCTTTAAGTAAAGGTTCAGCTTTTTTTTTAAATATCCAAGCTGTTCTGGTGGAGCAAAAATCTTAAAGCAATGAGTTCACTTAATGTAGCAAAACAAACCTCACAAATTGCTGATAAACCAAACTTTTCTTAGGAAAACCTCAGGTAACAGGAAATGACAAGATATACTGCTTCCCTACAGGAAGACCTCCCCTCTGAGATTAAAGCATCAGTAGCCATGAAGCTTTGAGGCGTCCTTCAACCTTGTTAAAAAAGTTGTCATGTGTTATATATTGCTGCAAGTGAAGAGGGGAGGGCTAAGCATTCAGTGGGTAGACTGTAAGAAGTGGAGCAGAACCCCTGATGGGAGCATACTGCATGGCTTGAGTGGTAAAAATGTCAAAGGAAGGAAGGAAAGGGGGGTAATAACCAACAACTACAGTAAGTGAAAGACCAGTAAGGGAGAGAATATATATTCTAGAAATTGAAAACTGTTTATTTCCATATAACATATATTAAAAACTTGAGAGTGAAAAAAGGCTGACTGTATCTGTGGGTTGATTGGAACCGTTTCCCTTTGGTTAGATCATATTATCGTATGACCCACAAAAACTTACTGTATTGCATTCTTCCTACAAAACACTTCTGCTATGTTCAATAACGTGCCGCCTACTCATCAACCATGGATGAACCAGTTAACTCATCTCTCTGGAGGACAAACGTTGCTCCGTTTATTCTTAAAATGTGTCCAACGTGGCATTTAACATATGAATTTACTGTTTTTGGAAGGATGCTAACAGAAAAAAGAAGCAGAAGGTCTTACCTGCGAATGCGAGGTGGTTTGGGAGGTGGCATGTCCCATCGTTCCTCATCTGACTGAATGCTTGTTTTGTCTGGACTGCTTTCGCTCTGGACAGATACAAAATAAATAGGATTTAGTACCAGTTTTTAATTCCCTTTCTAATGTTTATCCCCAAAAATACTTAAAACTTGGACACTATCTTCAAAACGAAAAATATTTATCTTTCAGTCAAACCCCTCAGTTATTTTCTTTCTAGCAGAACTAGTAAATTTCCAGGTAAGGAAGATTTTTAAACATAAAATTTTCTAAGTATCAATAAATAAGCAGCTACTGGTCAAATTAGGCTTCTCCTAGTCTAATTTTAGTGAATATGTAGAAACTATCACTACTTTTACTTCTAAAGTAGAGACAACCTTCAGTATATGTTACCTGCATAATTTAATTTTCTATTAAAGAGTCATTTCATAAAAAATATACAATGCATGTAGTGATCGTAAGGAGAAGAAGAATTTACCGCCAATATTTGAATATCTTAAATTATCATATCAGGGGCAGTTTAAATTGCAATTGAAAAGGACATAAACAATATTTAACAATCAGTCAGCTGAGGCTTTATTAAAATAGATAAATAAATAAGTGGTGGAGGGGGTTCCACAAGAAACAGTTTTTGATCCCCTTCTTTTTTGTTTATATGTTAAATAATTTTCAGTTTTATGTCCTGATGGGACAGGTATCTGTATGACTTATGCAGTGGGACACAAAAAATAAACTAAAATGAACAATAAGTTTATTACACATTATTTAAAAAAAAATCTGGAAAGTGTAAAGACAAAAAATCTTATTGGTTTAAAAAAACTGTTTATTCTTGTCAGAGATATAGATTTAAATTGCTGGGAAAAAAACTTGAAGTTAAAATATACATTTTTCCTGTTGATTATAGTTTCCCACAAAACATTCAGTAAAATAACCAGAATGACAAAAAAGCGGTTTGTAGTTTCTATATAAGAAAAACAAAATCAAAAATCAAGTCAAAATTAAGGGGTATTTAATCAAACTGGTGTTTCACCTGAATCCTAACGCTGCTCTTTTAACTAGAAAATGTCCGACTTTTGTATTAATATCTGAGATGCTTCATTCATTTTTCAAAATATAAAATGAAACCCATTTAAAATTTTTCAACATTAGAAGTTGCATCACACATGGCATTTAAAAATCTGGCAATCACATTTAGAGCACCTCCCAGATTAGGACAATGTGGCCCTCAAACAAGCTAATTATGCCCAATAGGTTGATAGAAGAAGTTGATTCCAAGTTTCTGTTTAATGAGAATAAATCGCAAGAAGAATAGAACATGCATGTGAGCATGTTTTGTGGGAGAGCGTTGAGCACATAAAAAGAGTGTGGGATGTATATACGTGTAGGCTTCATTGTTCTTGTTGCCATTAAGAGCACCTTATGTGGGCGTAGTGTTCACCAACAATGGCTGACTGGACATGAGTCAGACTGAACAAACTGAGTCACAACATCTCCCTGATAATCATAGGCTGAGATCAGGATTTCTTCTTGGACTCCCAAACATGTGAGAGAAGTTTTCATCAGCAGCAAGAAAGTAAATAAATTACTGGAGTTTGTCTCAGCCCAAGTTCAGCACTAAAAGATTAAGAATAAGAAATTTTATCTGAGGTTAAATAATTGTTTTCCATTTTACTGGGAAAAAGAATGCTGTTTAATTCCTAGAAAGTGTTTTGTAGCTTTAAGTATGAATGGTACTGATTGGAGGACTAACTCAAAGCCTAGTTAAAATGAATAGCTTTGATCACATTCTTTAAAATCCTAAGCAGACAGAGAGGAAATCAGGATATGGCAAATTAAAAGGTGCACATCAGAGATAGAGAAGATATGTGATGTCTGGCTCTCATCAGGAAGTGTAATCTGAGAAGAAGCTGTCTGATCAGGCTTACCGAAGGAGACTGTTAAGAATATTTTTTTACCTCGCTCTTCCGATGTTTCTACCTGCAGTACATCTATAAAAATGTTCTAAACACTAATTTGTGTATTTACGTTTGTAAACAGACACCTGCCACCTCTTTGTTACTCAGGACTGTGTCGATGGCAGGAATTGAGGCTTCAAAAACGCAAAGATTTATTATTTACTAAACTGCTCTGCAGATTAAAAGCTAAAGAATCTGTCTCGCACTCCCTTAACCCAAAAGTGTGATGTTCATTTTAGGGAACCCAACTGTAAGGTTTCCTGAACAGAAAGTCATCCGATTTTCAGCCAGTACTCCCTCATCATCTGTTTTTAGACATTACAATCATCTTAGCTTTTGCTCAGAACATGCTGTGATGACATTCAAATCCTGCAAACAGACGTATCTTAAGTCATCAGGACATTATGTCAGCTTTGAGAAGAAAACAGGACAGCAGAAGTACTTTAACTTGGTCAATGATGTCAGCGGTAGCTGACAGGACAAAAGTTTGTTTGCTTTTTGAAACAGAGAAACTCTCTTGTAAGATATTTTTCCTTCAGGCGAAATCCCTCCTGATCGTCTGAGTTTTTAGGCGGCAGACTCTCCTCCGTTCCTCCTTCCCTATATCCCCCCATGACTAATTACTTGGCTTCTTCCTACTCCAAGTGTTACTCAGCCACATCCTGTCTTGTCTTTAACACCAGGCACAGATCAGTACAATGTTAGGGTGTCATACCATGCCATCTTGTATCTGCGTGTTGGTGGGGCTCTCCAGATGCTGTAGTTGTTTCTCAAACAGCTGAGCGATAGCTCTGTGAACTAACTCGTACTGCTCCTACATGGAGAGAGATAAAAGGCAACTTGAGGAAGGCCAAGTAGAGGGAAGATGAGCAAAAACAAAACAAATAAAATGTCAATGATCTGTTAGAACGAATCTGTGACCGAGTACACATTTAAAAATAACCGTACTGACTGGAACAGTTGGCAAAACAGGAATATAATAGTTGAAGCATGCCAATAGAAAAAAAGGCTTATATCTGCTGTATATAACTTTGTAAAAAAAAAACATAACATTAAAATACAGCAGAACAGCCACACAAAGTAAACTGATAAATGCATTAAATGCAAATATGATCAGGGAGGAGGAAAATGGCAAATTCAGGAGAAATAAATTAGCTCTGCCTCTGATAAACACATGACTGAGTCAAAATGAAGCACTAATGGAGTATATTTGAAGAATTTCCCAAATACTGATTTAAATTAGGAACATATATGGAAAGATATTAAGTGAATCTAGAAGCTGCCAATACTGAGCTTGGGTAGTTGCTTCTGAAAGTTTAACAAATCTGTTATTTGTTTGATTCAGTTGTTGATGTTTTGAGAAAAACATAAAAAAAATATATATATATATATATATCTGATTATTTTCTCTCAACAGAAGAATCATACTTGAGCTCTACCAGGCTGCACTTATACGCCCACATATAAGGATGTTCATGGTTAGTATTTATTAGTATGAGAGTTTCTGAGAGAACAATCTGAGTTGTATCAAGCTAAATCACAGCTCACAGGGTGCCACAGAGAATACCTTCTCATTCTTTTATACTTTTCTAAATGTTTACTTCCTGTAACTCATCAACACTCCACTGATACTGAACAACAATTCAAAATAAACTGAATAATTTGTTCATTTGTTTTATTATATGAAACCAAAAATTAGGATATTTATTCTGCTTCATAAATACTAGAGAAAAATGGAGAACAGTTCCTTTTTTTAATTAAATATCTCCCCACTACTTTAAATGTGGAACAGTTGTTTGACCCGGGTCGACATGGGTCAGTGAGCTGTTCCCACTGGCACTAAAAGCTGGGTTTAAACAGGTTTTTGGCCAGTGGGAAGGGGGAATTATTGACCTGACTTTATGGTGATTTTTTGGGGGGAGGATTTGGAATTGAAGAGCAGATTGTCTGACAAAACAGCTGATTTTGTTTATTAAGTAAAGCTGGCTAAAATATGTCCAAAATTCTGTTGGTAAAGGGTATCTAAGACAGCCCTCAGCCCAAAATGAAAAGAATGAATATTGCTCCTTATCATTTTATATATTTAATATAGCATGGTAATGAGAAACTAAAGAAGGAACTGTCATCTGTTTTTCGGTGGTATTCTATTAAATAAAATTTGAAAAAAAAAAAAAAAAATTGTTTTTCCATTGTTGGTTTCAATTTGAGAAGTGAATAAACAAATGATACATGGATTCAGAACTAGGTGCAACAATTTCCACCTAGAAGAGAGCAAAGTTTAGACAGACCTGGTAATCCTTTGCTGTTCATAGATTTGGAGAAACGGAAGCTGCATTTAGGAAAGAAAACATATCATCGAAGTCTAAGAACAAACCTTAGTTTGAACGGCAGAATGTCGCTGTGTCCTCATCTCTTGGATCAACCGGAAAACATTAAAGTCCTCTGGAATTTTCTTAAAACACAAAGCAGAATATAAAGATGAGTACCCATAATACTGGACCAGGCTTTGGATTTCAAGGTTTATATGAGGACAATTTAAAGATGAGCGGGTGGTTATATTATATGGAAGGTTGTTTTGTTGCATACCCCAGCTTTGAGGAGGTTCCATGTGTAGTCAATAGCACAAATAGCACCCGTCCTCCCACAACCTGCACTGCAAACACAACAGATTCCTTCAAAGAAACCTCTCACAACTAAAAAGAAAACTCTGTAAATACTAGACATTTCTATTTTGTTGCCTGAAGTTGTACACAAAAAAAACACCTTCTGCAGACAGGAAGGAGACAAACGCTAGAGTGAGGCTAATCGCTGCTGAAGTATAAAATCATAAACCTGATCTCACGCTGTCAGACAGCTTGCTGCGACTCTAAAGAGTCGGCTCTCTCCACATCAAACCACACAAAGCATCTTCACAGCAACAGAAACACAGCTTTGAGTCCTGCTGTGTGACACAGGAACCCGGAAATGTCCCCAGGCTGCTCATTACAGCTTATTACACACACATGGAGACGAGCCTGTGAGCTTATGAGTAAACATGTGTGCAGCAGAGAACTTTCAATCCAGTCAGTCATCAGTAACCGTCTTTACATTTGCTGTTCTTCCGATCACTTCAGCAGTGAAAAAGGCAATCATTTACTCCGAGAAAAGGTGTGGTTGTATGCATTATAATAATCATTAATTGTGTGGTGCTAGCGTGGGCTGCATCAGCTTACCTGCAGTGCACACATATAGGAACTTCGTCTTTCTCCTGGTATTCCCTCATCAGTCCGATCATATCCAATATGGAGTCAAACGATGACGGGACATCGTGATCAGGCCAGTTGATGTAATGGAACTGAGATATCCTCCGAGTTTCCTGCAGGACAAATGAAACCATTAAAACTCTGAAACCACAAAGACTGCTAAAAAAAAAAAAAAAGTATAAAAGAAGTGTTGATTTTTTTATTGAAATACAGTTAGATATTTTTTATTTTCTGTACACTAAACCTTGTTTCTAAGATGTCATGTAAAGAAAAAGAAAAATTTCAGAGTTTTTATCAGAATTTTATGCAATACACCAATGTTGTTTCCAAAAACTTGAAATATCTTAAGCATGATTTTGTTGTCCAGCCCCTCTAAGCTGATACTTTGTAAAAGAACATTTTGTTGCAACAGCTGCAAGTCTGTCACTGTATGTCTCTACCAGCTTTGCACATCTGGAGGCTAAATTTGTTTTTTTCTAAACGGCTCGATTAGTGGATGCTGAGCATCTGTTAACGTCAATCTACTAAACTGGATCCAGGATTAAATTTCGACTCAGATTCTCTTTACTTTGAGTAAAATCAGTGATACTCAAGCATTTTGCCATTATGGTGTAAAACACTTGTAGGTCATAAATATCCTATTTTCTAACTAAATTAAAAACAGAAACAACTTGATAGGGAAGTTTTGCAGCTTCTTAACAGTTTTTAACGGAATTTTCTCAAACTAGATTACTGTGTCCGATTTTCAGGAAGCATGACGGGACATTTGTGATGCAATTTACAATGAGATAAAAATGAAAGCAGAAGCACGATTAAATAACTGTTTCGCCAAACAATTTCCATTTAAAGGGGCAAAGCCTCATTGTGGTACTTTCCAATGTGTACGTCAGTATCTCAGCCTGGTTGCAAGGGTTTTTCTAAAAAAGAAGTTTACTAAGACCTGCTGGAACTTGATGTGTTATTTCCATGTTCCATCTTTGTTTTTGCTCATTTTGTTTGTAAACAAAGCCCTTCTGTGTCTGGTTTAAGGTGGTCGTTGTAGTGTGTAGGCCTGCAGTTTGGCAACAATGAAGCATATTTACATTTTTATTTATGTCCCATTTGGCAGGTGGTTTTACTGCAAGTCATTAAAAAACAACATCTAACTAGAAGGCATTGCAACAGATTTAAAAACATAACTTGGTCTATTAAGACCATATAAAGAGTTAATCTGAGTGAGCAATGACCCAATAAACAGATAATACCCATCAGTCTTAAAAATAAAAAAAATCCCTGCAAATTAAAGTTGCTAAAAACACATAAACACAGTTTCCAAAAATGTAAAATAACATTCTGGACAATAGTTCGGCGAAATGGATTCTCTGTCAAAGGTTGTAAGCTGTAAAATTATATTATCATAACTTTCACCTTTAAAAAAAAAAAAAAGTTGGAGTACATAACTTTTTTTTTCATCTCTTTCTGGTAAATGTATTTATTTTGATTTATTATCTTATAGTTCATTTGTCTGTTAAAAGGGGTGTTAAGAATTACCCGACAGCTTTAAACGCTGCAAAACAGACATTATTTTGTTAATAATGATCCATGTTTCTCTTTATCTGTTCCTTTAAAATAAACATTAAAAATAAAATGAAAACATCTGATCCTGCTTGTTGGGATGTTTTTAGTTTTTGCTTTGGAAGACAGCTGTCGGTGAAAAATGTCTAAGTTTTTCATATGTGATTTTGGTTTAGGTCACAAAGTACAATATAATCTATATTTTAAAAAAAACATACACAAACCATATAAGAAATAGAAGAGTAAACCCATTTCATTGTCTCCAAAGTAAATATCACTATTACTTTAATTACACCAAGATAATCTATGATATGGTAGGAAAAGGAGCAGACTGATTCAGGACACTTTTTTTTTTTTACTTAGCAGGCTAAAAAACAACCACAAGGCCAAAAAAAATGTATGTACAGTAACACACCCACCACCTATTTTACCCTCCACCCAGATAACCCTAGATTAAAATTATCGGTCAGGGATTAGGAAAATTGTCATAATTGTATGCCATGCGCACAGTGTAAATATGGCCATCATATGGCAGTCTTCTGTACAGTGATGCAGGTCATACATTAAAAAAATGTTCATTAATTTTTTTTCTCTGACACATTGGAGAGGTAAATTTAAATGTTATAGAGCTAAACATGTTAAACTGGTGACCTGTTATGTTATTATTATTGTCTTGTTGCTGCATTTATTTTGTCTGGGAAAACTAATCCTGAGTCAGTTAAAAGTCAGGGAATTCTGAAATTATGTAAGACTGGAAACCCTGTATAAAATAACTATGTATAATGATTCTCTAGAAAAGTCACATTATATTAATAGTATCACCTGTATAAGCATACCGTGACTTTAAAATAAAAGTTATTCATTTGTGACATTGACTTCTGTCTTGTGATTTATCTTAAGTTTTTAACCTGTCAAGTTTTTTTTAGATTTTTAACATTACAATTTATATTTTTCCAAACACGCAACAGTTTAAAGCAAAGTTTAGTTTTAAAAGAGTGAGCAGGAAGGATTGAAAAGCATGTTAACACGGTAATGTAGGCTTGAGTTCATTATCTGACGCATGCATATACACACCAGGAACCTTTAAACTTAAAAAATACAAAATTACAAAAAACATTTTAAAAACAAACATGTTTCATTGATATATATGCAAAAATGAATATTAGGAACTATATTTATCAAACATTATACTGGGCAAGTAAAAATTGTTTCTGGGCAAATGAAATGTGAAAGTCACTTGCCCAAAGGGCAAGTGGTAAAAATCCTTAACGTCAACCCCTGGAGTATTTAGGTAGAACTTACATTATTATACTGAACCGTCAACGTCCTGATAAAATAGTCTGTTCTTTGCTGCTCCGATTCCTGGAAAACCGAGATGAGAAAATAAAGTAAAATCTCTGACAACAGAATGCACGGTTCTGTCTATTTGGAAACATCTTTAATATTGCAAGTTTCACAACTTACACAGGAGATTCTGAAAGGCCCGAAACTCAGGGGCTCTTCATCTCGTGATGGAAAATACCGCTCACATTTTTTCTAAAGCACAACAGAGAAATGGTTACCGCAGGAGAGATGCCACAGCTTCCTGCACACAGAAACCTTTGTTGTCTGAAGTACACAGTTAATATGAGATGTAGAACAAAGGCAGTGAGAATTAAAGCAGAAAATACTGAAAGCTCCATTTTGACAAGGAGGGTTTTACTGCTGTTAAAGGATGTTTGATTAGTGGAGGGAAGAAAATACCTGTTAGACTTGTTACTCATTTAAGAAATGTTGACTTTAGCTGGTTTTTCATCACCAGAGGCTGATTTATTACACAAATATTACAATTCGGCCCCAATTTACTTACGATTTACTTCTATTTTTCATTCATTCTTTACGACTTTTTTGAACCAACTACCGAAAACAAACATCATCCTCTGTAAAATAAACTGAATTTGAAATGATTCTCTTTATCTTAACAAATGTATCTTAATCATTTTCCCTTCAGATCAGCAGAAATTAAAGCTTTTAAAAACTGCAGACACCTTGCTTAAACGGACTTGCTAATTTTTCATCTAATGTATTTTGATTAAATTTGAAAAAGAAGAACTATTTAATACACAGAGTTTGTTCAAGGCTTTAGGCTCCTTAATTTAATTCCTCTGTGTCAGACATGTGAATAATAGTGTAGAATAAATACAAGCTCTTAAATAATCAGTCATAATTCATTTTAACACCAGAGTGGATCAATTGAAACATATTCAAGGCTTTTAAAGCCGCTTCTTTGCAAAGACGTTCCAGTACAAGCAGAACAGAGAAGGAAATCCACAAAGAAATAGCAGAAACTCTTCAAGGATAAACAACCTTCAATATGAATAAAGACCGATACATTCTAGAAGGTGGTAGAAACGGCGGAAATAAAATGCAGATGTGTGCAGACAGCCTTACCCTTCCCATCTCAAACTCTCGACAGGCCATTACAATAACCTGTGGAGACACAGACAGGAAGAAAGACCACAAATCAATACACGCTCAAAGATGAAAACTGCTTTCAGTATGGATTTAGTATCCGTATATGTTTATTTAATTTAAAATATGATAAACTGTGATTTGTTTCACGGGAACCATTAACTATTTTAATTGCACCTTTTCTCAAATACTGTTTAGGAGGATGTTACCACTGTTTATTTATAAAATGAGGAAATTCACCAAATCATAAATGAATAAATACAACTGAAAATACAAATTACTTCAATTTAACACAAGCAATTATGAAACAATGTATCCTATGTTCTCATATGAAAGTTTTAAATAAAAATACAGCAGAAATTTTAATATTAATGCAGTATGAGACTTTTTATCAAAGTTTGCAAATTTGGAAAGCCATATATTCAGCATGAGATTTTATGAAACCACTATTATCATGTATTCCACATGTGAAATAATGCTTTTTTTTATTTAAAAAAAAAAAAAAAGGGAAGTATTTCTTGGATTGCGCTGACATTGGGCTGATACAGACTGACAAAACTCTGTTAGCCAAAAAATAGATGTCCTCAACAGTTCTAAACCATTTATAAACCATCATTTTAAAAAAAAACAAGAGGAAGGGGAAACCCTGACAGACAGATCATAAGGCCTGTTAGCTGCTAATAAAGGTGGCCTCTGCTTCAAAACTTCCTAAAAGTCAGTTATTAAATGAGTCTTACATTTTTTTCAAGACACTTAGATTAAACCAGAATTTCTACTTTATTCTGTTTGTCGAAACACAAAGTGAAAAATTTAAATGCTTTTGCTGGAATGAGCACGACTTTACAATTAGACATGATTTCAAAAAGCATAAGATCCAGAAAAACTAGACTCAAATGTTCACATTCTTTAAGTTTATAGTGAAACATTACATTTCTAGATTTTACATCATTATATAAAAAATTATAACATTTGTGGGGGGTTTTCACCCAAGGGAGACTCTTGGTAATGATTTTCATCACAAAAATTATAATAACATGCATTAGCCAACAATGTCTGTTTTAGTCAGATTCATATCTGTAAAATCTTCCTAACAGCAGGGAGATGAATCTCTTTCACATGGAGTTATACTCACAGCGACATTGTACTCCCAGTTCATCCTCCAGAAGTCGATGACTGTGTTTGGGAGGGGACCCTGAGTGGCTATATAGGCTTTGGGGCCATCAACACCCTGAACAGACAGAGAATGAAAGAAAAAATTTTAATTCAGACAATTAATGATCTTAAACCAAATCCAACAATATGTTTAAGAGCAAAGAAAAACAATAAAGGATTTTTACCTTAATAAAGTTGGCATTGATGTAATCTGTGTCTTGATTGGTTGTTTTAAAACTCAACTTTACTCTAGTGTGGTCAACTGTGGGGGAGGAAAAATGAATATAGTTTAAAAGATATATTTATTTCAAAAGATTGAATAACAGTAAGAGAAGAAGAGGAAAAAAGGGCAGAACTGGTGGGGTTTTACCCCTTGCTCACACTGGCTCCGGTGCAGTTACCGAGCCGACGGAGACCGCAACTCCCGCACACCCCCTCTCACACCGCCCTTTTGACTACGGTGCGGTGCGGCTCTGCGGCTCCGGCAACAGGTCCGGAGATTTAACAGAAGTTCACTTGAGTTCACGTAACTTCACGCGATAACACGGCCCAAATAAAGGATTTTTGCGAGAGCTTGTTGCGGAGGGCTCCGGCACGCCGCAAGGATAGCTTTCTTGCGGAATTTTCTGCAGCGCCGGAGTGTCTCGGTAACCGCAGCCGGACAGCTCAGCAGCCGGTGAGAGAGGTTTAAGTCTTTTTAATGACTTGGAATCCTTGCGGCGCCGCACACACCGCACCGCAACGGTAAGACCGGAGTCTGTGTGAGCCTGGGGTTAGGCACAGCTTCAGAGAAAAAAACAAAAACTCATTGCTATGTACAGCAGAAGGCAGCATCTGTGTGATTGCGTGCGTGTCGGCGTCCGTTATGGATGAACCAGTTCTTTCTTTGCCTTATCAGCTCATTCACTAAAAGCTTTAATGAATGGATGGGGAGAAAGGAGAGCGTAAAGGAGGATAAACATTAAGGAAAAAGTAGGACAGACATTGGGTCATATAAGCTTCCCTGCGGTTGTTAAGTAGAGAAACAAGCTAAAACATCTCATGCCTTTTAAAAGACCCCCATTTATTTAGTAAACGAAACAAACAGCACATTTCTCTTAAAAGTCTACAATTCATCCTTAAAATTCTTGCACTCATACCAACTCAACCTTTATTTCATCCTGGGTGCTAATATTATCTTTGATGAAATGTGGATTTGTCTAGTCAGGCAGTGACCTTTAAAGCTGAGCTGATGGATGCACGAAATTTTAAAGCTGCAGCACTTACAGAACACAAGGTTACAGAGAGATTAGATTGTGAAAGCAATGCAGCAGATGGAAACTCTGTGCATTATTTTAATGGTCTGTAATGCCTGCCTCATCTCCACACACAGCAAGATGAATGCCTCAACTATAAATGAGAAAGAAAATGTAGATTCAAGGGAGTTGTTGGAGGTAAACCACGACTTACATGGAAGTATGTCTTTGTATCTGTTCTTCTTCACGTTCTCTTCCTTCTCTCCTACGTTTGTTGGGTAGATCTTCTCTGTTCGGTACTTTGTTGATAACCGACGCAACCGCTAAAATAAACCACACAGAGGGAGTTGGATAAAGAAGAAAATATTAGTAAGTAATGGGCAACAATTCTGCTTTCAACTTGAAAGATGACATGGCAAATAATATTTTAAACCACACAGGATTAACACCAAAGCTACACATGCATTCAGAGGTTTACACATAGTCACCACAGGCATGAAGGTCAATAGTTTGGGGCTCTTAATGATACGTTTCAGCAGCGTGGGATTAAAAAGAAAATTAAATTCATAAGTTTGAAGTTAGGGTGGATTTTCTTTAATCCACGCTGGATTAAAATTGGACAAGAGCATAACTCAAAAAAAAAAAAATCAGAGTGGAAGTTACACCACCAGTAAATCCAATGTGGACCAAAAGGAAGCTGTGAAAAAAAAAAAAACTCTGCTCTGATGTTGGCAAAGATTTAAAGTCATCTAAAAAACAACAGACAGAATCTAACATTTTAAGGAATCAGGGTAAGGCGTTAGAACCACCATCCCAACTGGTAAGTATGGTAGTGGCAGCAGCATGCTAAGGTGCTGCTTTGGTACCAACTCCTGGACAATCTGTGGTGCAATGTGACGAAGGTGGATGGATCCAAACATGATGTCCTAGATGTGCTCGATCAGATTCAGGTCTGGGGAGGAGCAGGCCTATTCTAGCCACATGTGGTCTAATTTGTTCTGCATTAGGAGGAACCCAGAGCCAACCACACCAGAATGTGGTCTCACAATTGGTCTGAGGAGCTCATCTTGGTACCTAATGGCAGTCATACTACCTCTGGCAAGCACATGAAGGGCTGTTTGGCCGCCCCACACCATTACTGACCCACTGCCAAACCGGTCATGCTGAAGGATGTTGGAAGCAGCAGATCGCTCCACATGGTGTCTCCACACACTGTCGCGTGTGTTCAGTGTGAACCTTGCTTTCATTTGTAAAGCACTAGGCACCAGTGGTGAATGTGGCAATCCTGGTGTTCAATGAGTGTGAAAGCACCAACATTCAAAAATCAGCCAGAAAGCACTTTGAGAAGTGGTCTGTGGTCCCCAGCTGCAGACGCACTATTTTACTGAGCATTTCTAGCTAATTGTCAAATAATTTCCAACTTTTCAATGTGAAATTGATTGTCAATCAGCGTTGCTTCCTAATTAGACAGTTTGATTTCACAGAAGTTTGATTTAATTGAAGTTATATTATGTTGTTTACGTGTTCCCTTTTTTTATTTGAGCAGTATATATTAGGAAGTTGGCCGACAGAGCTGACCTTGAGCGGCAGCTGTAATTAAACATATTTGTTCTCCTTCAATGTGGCAGTCAAGAAAAAAAGTGGCTTTTAATGTTTTATTTTATTTTAACAAACAGTGCATGGGAGAACCATAACAGGATGGCACCTTATCATGATAATGGCGGTTAAAAGGCTCGTCACACACTGCTGTTCGACAAAATCCTATCCTTCAATCAGCATCTGTCATGTTTGTCTGATTTTATTCACAAACCCATATGCAACCATCAGTGTTCAATAGGGTAAAAGTGTTGTGATTGTGCAAAATGCATTACTGACTTGGGGCTCAAATAAGAAATATATTCTCCTTATACATGTGGCTGAATTTAAAGGGAAATACTGTAACCATGTTTTCTAATAACATGAGACTTATTATGTTTTGTGCCAAGTTTATTTGTGCTTATAAAATATTTATCCTGTGATAAATAAACACATTTACAGGTCAGAAATCAAAGAAATCTACAACAGGATTAACTTGTGATACAAGCCAGAGAGAAGCCTGTTTATCAGCATCGACATCAGAGAACAGAACCAGCCTCCTGCGGTGCTTTTTCAGAGCCAAGAACGAATGTTTCTGTCTGGTTAAACCACCGTTAGGATGAACACGATAAAAACCATTGTTCTGCATATCTAACTCATAGAAATCTTCCCTGCACGCATGAATATAAGAGTGCATTCTTCAGCTCAGGCATTGCTATTAATACCCCAACATCGCTGCTTCACAAACACACACCCTTTCCTCTTAGTGTGACAGTGCATAAAGTTCAGCACAGCCAAATCTAATATAGGCTGACACTGATGAAGACACATTCGGTTAATGGGAAGAGAACAATTACAGTCTCTCAGCTGACAGCAGGGCAAAGCTTAGCTCGGCCTCCTCACACACGCACAGGCCAACAATAGAGGATTTTCAGGGCAGCGAGGATGAGAAAATGTCATTATTTCTGAACGATCAAGCCCTGCACACAGGATTTCTTATCCTGTTCACAGACATCTGCAGTTTTCATGTGATGTGATTTTGGGCTCTGTTGAAATCAAGGTCACCTACATTAGACAGGCACTGCGTTTAAGAATGTTGTTGGCACAAAAGCTGCAAAATATGAGTTACATATTCAATGGAGGTTGGTTATCAAAAACTCAGCCTTCTGATTTTGTTTAATCAAGAGCTCATTTTCTTTTACAGAGAACGTAATGTGGATTTCTCCTGAAAATCAGAGAATTTGACACATAATCCACCACGAAGAACCACCGCTCTGGGGGGCCGTTTCTATTTGAAGCTTATGTTTTGGTAAATTCTCTATCCAGATAAGATAAAAGCTGTTTCCTACAAAAAGAAATCGGCTCCTGGTTCCTCACAGCCTGCTGAATTTAACCTAGAATTTTAAAGTTGTTTCCATCTCCACCATCAGTTTTAGCCTGAATATAGCGAAGCAACTACCATCATTATGCAAGTGTAAAAAGTACAGCAAACCAACAGCCGTTCCATCCTGGAAACATTATTTATTCTGGCACAACCTTCTGTGTGCATATTTCAGTAAGTCATTCTGAATTTTTATAAGTCAAACTGGAACTATACTAAAAAAACAGTATAAAGCCTAGCTTACAGCTTTGTTGCTTTTTCTTGCACCTCATAAATTAATTTAAAAAAAAAACAACAACAGGGTTTTACTCCAACTGCATCACAAATAAATTTAGCATTTGAACTTCAGCCTGCACAACTGATACTGTAAGTTCAGTCAGTCAACATGTGCGATTTGGAGGTGTGTGCACTTTAATGCCTTATAAGGCCAAAGCAACCAAAGGAAACTGTCAAAGCATCTTAGATTTCAGTGATTTCAGGTATATTTATTATGTTTTGGTGGAATCATTTCCAGTTTGAAAGGGGTATTGGACAAAAAGGGGATGCATACAGTTTTGAAGAATTATGCATTAACTTACAACCAAAACCTTAGGCGCTATTTTTATTACTAAGCCTATGGTAATCCATCCCCACAATCATACATTTTAACATTAAGTAAGGTATTTACAGAATTTGGTACATCATGAAATCCTAACAGTAAAACTTTTAGAGAAATCCAACTTCTAAACTTTGAGAAGCAACAAAGAAATCCTGCTAAACTCACATAACCTCCATGTAATGTCATTCTCTGGGGTCCTTTTCTATTCTCTCAGTACTTCCATTTCTTTGTGAAACATTAACGCGTATCTGCATATGTTCTTGCCTGTATCTCTCCTCCCCTTCATTGCTTACTGAGTCTGAGAAAGTTGGCGTGGGCGTTCAGGCTTCTGAAGCCTCGTGTGAAAAATGGCCCCACCTCTGCTCACTGGCCCTGGGCTGCAGGCTTTCCTCCCATTACAGACGCGGACATGTACTGCGAATTTTGATTTCCTGAATATCCCCAAATCTCTAAAGACCTACCTCCTTTCATTTTTTTTCTTCTGTAACTTCTGGACTAATTTATGTTTCTTCTTTTGAAAAATGTCCTAAGCTTGCAGTAAGCTGCTGAAACTCAGAAAAAGTTAACACCAGCAGCACAGAAGTGCCCTAAAAACATGATGATCATTGTAAACCACAACAAAGAGATAATCAGGAACTGAGGGAGAGGAGCAAAGGAAAAGAGGAGTTGGAGGTACGTGCAGTGAACGTGGGCGGCGGCACAGCTGTGCGTGAGTGTTCATTTATGTCAGAGTGTGGGGTAAATAGCATTACAGCTTCTCTGGTCTCATGTGAATTACATTTGCAACAGAGGTCTGCTTCTGTGCTGGGCTACAGCCCGACAACATGCACAAATACACAGAAATAGCCAAAGAAAAAAGAAAAACTTCCCTTTGCAAAAACATTTTACCTAATTTACAGAACGTGGGGAAAGAAACACAATTTCCTCATTACAAAAGTAAACGGGAGCACATTCTGGCACTTAGATGACAGCTTAGTTTGGCTGAGGACCACAAAGGTTAATCTGCCAACACAAACTATATCACCTGTACTTAAAGCGTGTTTTTGGAGATTAGAGGTGGTAAATAATTTAATCACAATAACAGAGCTAATAGCCAGAGAACCGGGGGGTTTAAAACTTGACTGATTGAACTCTTACCCCTTCACCATAGCTACGCAGCTACTTCCTGTTAGATGCCAAACATATTTGAGTGAAGGAAACTCAAAGTTAATCAAAGCTATTACTAAATCAGTAAGTTACAAAATAAGCCTTAAAGCTGCATTTTCCATCCCCCATGTATCTTTCCATAGATTTTCTTAACTATTATCTTTGTGAAAGGAGGCCTCTTCATAACCCTGCTATTAACAAGATAAAAAAAATGCCAATAAAAACTATCACCGTAGTTTTTATCCAGTTGTTCAGGTTAAAGCATTCAACAAGGTTGTGCAAACATTTGTGCGATTTAATAAAAACAAGCTGGATTCTGTCCACCTAAACAGGAGGAAATCATTTTTCATTGATTTTATTCATTTTATTTATTTTTGTAGGTTGTATTTGTTTTATACGATGGTATGCGAGCACAAGATAGAAAATGCCTTTCTGTTTTTACAACTCCCATTCCTCCGAAATGTCTACATAAGTACTTATACTTCCTTAGATACAAAAGAACGTGCAAAGCACTAAAACAGATGGAAAGGAAAGGGGGCATTTTCTAAGAGATGGAGAGCTGTTATAAAACAGCATGGGTTAAAAAACATTTGGGATGATATTTCAAAAACAAGAGGAAAAAC